TCAGTCAGTCAGTCAGTGAGTGAGAGACATTCCAGAGTATAGGGCTGGCCCCAATGTTGCGGTCCAGCCAAAAATACATTTGTTACATGGAAAAGTTAACCACACAATCATATGCTCCTTTCACATGCACTCTGTTCCTCTGCACTGTTTGCGTTGGTATTCTCCTCCCCACTTATCAAACTGCATTTCTGGAAATAAAAATTCAAAGGTTGGATGTGTTCCCACTTTCTCTACCTCATTTCAGAGTTTGTGTGTAAAACTGACAAATAGAGAACTGAAGGAGTAAATGCTCTCCAAACCTGTATTTCCTGTTTCTTTTACTACTTCCTGGCTCCACTTCATTTCTTTACCACAGCATTTCTTTTGTTAATATTTCACTCTAAAACCATCTTGTGCAAGCATGCTGTGACAGTTAAATGCGCCATTGTAAACACACGGTGGAAAAGGCAAAGTATTATACTCTGTGTATGCGTGTGTCCTGAGTTGCTTGGCCAGTTTTTTAACAAGAATTTGGAGTGGAGTCAGCTGTCACAAAGATCATTCTGATGTGTCATCAGCTACATCAGAATACTATGCAGTGAAAGTGTTTCTCAAGTTTCTGACACAGTCTGCCTGGAGTACGACTCCAGGCAGACTGTTACTTTTTCAAACATGCACAACAGCCAAGAAGAGTAATCTCTCTGCCTTTAATCACATATATCAGGACTGAGGGGCATCTGTTTCAGAGAGGACCACACATACACAAAAAGAAATAAGAAGTGATTTCATAATCTGTTTGGGTCAGTGTTTTGTTCAGTTCCCCCCTTTGAAGTGCGACCTGTCCCTCCATCGAGTTTTGTGCAAATCTGTTCAGTACTTTTTGTGAAATCCTGTGAACAAACTGACAGGGGTAAAAACATGACTTTCTTGACGGAAGTAATAAAAAAGCACAATATCTGATGGCTAGTGTCATGTACATGCTCTATTAGATTTGTTTGTTGTTATTTTGTTTATTTATCAAAACAAGCTCTTGTAATGAACCAGAGTGGACCTGGATGACATAAAAATTTCTGTTTTTTTTTTGTTTTTTTTTCATTTACCTTAAAAGCTTTTAAATTATAATGTCATTTAAAGTCCAGATTACAATCTCTGTTCCAGCTTTGAAATCTCCTTTTCTCGTTCTGTCAGGTTCAGGCTGAGGCACAGAGTTCCCTGACTGTTGCGCAGGCCCTGGCTGATGATGTGGACTGCCATGTGTTCCCCTTCAGCGTGTTTGGTAAAGGACGCATCAAGAAGCTTCGCATCAGCCCAGACGCATTCATACAGATCGGCTTACAGCTGGCATACTACAGGGTAACACTCACACACACACACACACACACACACACACACACACACACACACACACACACACACACACACACACATATATATGGTATTTCAATCAAGAGTATAAAGACAGAATTTCACAAGTGTAGTACACAGAGTCTAACAACTAAAGGGAAGTGATTATTGATTGCGGTAACCGCACTGTAAATATCGGTGTACCTTTTGGTCATATTCACCTGTTTTTAGACCAACAGCATAATTAGATAATTGACTTTCATGGCTCATTGACTCATTGCAGCAACTACCCTGGACTTTTGTGGTGTCCATGGTTTATTTTTAGAAAATGTTTTCAGATTAGAGTAATGTCCTTAAACCTCCCTTCCTGGATAGATCTGTTTATCTCTCTGTCTGTATCTCTATCATATGCTGGTGTTTCCATTGAGCAATCTTCAAATGTTTATTTGACAATGAGCACATATGCATCTCTTTCATCTGCTGCTGTCTTCCTCTCAAACCTATTCTCCTTCGTCCAGGATCGTGGTGGTTTCTGTCTGACCTACGAGGCGTCGATGACCCGTCTGTTCAGAGAGGGCCGGACGGAGACTGTGCGATCCTGCTCCAACGAAAGCTCTGCCTTTGTCAAAGCTCTAGAGGATGGGGAGGTACTGATCAAGTTCCTGATTCTGCTCTCTTTGAAGTCTAAAGAGTGAACGCTCACACACAAATAAACTCTTGCTGACAACCAATGTCTGCCCAAACTCCTAATGTCCATCCACAATCGCCATATTGTCACAGTAAAAATTCTCATATTGATTTATAGATGATTTTATTTCAGGGGTTTGGTGACATGTGATTTTGTTTTGACAGGCAGCGGAGCAGTGCAGGCGTCTCTTCCGACTGGCTTCTGAGAGGCACCAGAACCTTTATCGGATGGCTATGACTGGAGCTGGAATCGACAGACACCTCTTCTGCCTGTATGTGGTGTCCAAGTACCTGGGGGTGGAGTCACCGTTCCTTAAAGAGGTCAGTTCCTGGTTTTGTTCACTGTCAGTGTTGCATTGTATTTTTAGTCTCCTCTGATTTTCTTATTGACAAACTGTTCACAGAATTTGTGTGTATAAGTGACAACAGTGTCAAAGCACCACTTACATGTGTATTGATAGTAGCGACACACGTCACATAGGTTTTTCTTGCTTTAGTACGCAGTGCAGAGAGGATCTACCTTCACATGTTCTGCTTCACCTCTTTCTCTTTTTCTCCTTTCTGCTCACATTCCAGGTTTTGTCAGAGCCCTGGCGTCTCTCCACCAGTCAGACGCCAGTTCAGCAGATGGAGTTGTTTGACCTGAAGAACCATCCCGACTTTGTGTCGCTGGGCGGAGGGTTCGGACCTGTGAGTAACATGCATGTTCCTCTAGTTGACTTTTAAAGAATTAACCTGCATTTAATATTCATTTGCCTGTATTGCTTACCCATTAGTGCTGCATAATACTACAGTTTAACATTTGATTGTTTGGTCAATTGTAGTTGACCAATTCGATGTTAACTTGCCAACCATAGGAACAGTGGTTACATAACTTTCCAAACAAGCCATGTGCACTCATGCACGTGCGCTCCAGTACTTCAGTAAAAAGCACACACGCAATTTGACACACGAGTCCAGCTCATTGTGCTCTGCAAAAAAGCTTCTTGGAGCATTACATTCATCACTTTTTTTTTTTTTTTTTTGAAAAATACATGGTGCAGGAACAAGTCCATAACATCTGGAAATTAATTAGTATTTCAGCTCTTCTGGTTCCCTCATCCCGAAGTCAATGGGGTTTTTGAATGTCTGTGGTTAACACAAGCTCAACACATTTTTAATGTTTAATATTGCATGATAAGATACATCAGTAAATACCCCGCTCGTCTCTTAAAAAAGGCTGGTTGCCTAAATGAGACTACAGAGGTTATTGGGTACAGGAGGAGGTTTCCTCTTGCCTCAGTTTATCTCAGATGATCAATGAACTCATCAGGTCTATTCTAAAGAGCCCTTTAAGATCTACACTAATTGATTACAGTTTTTCTAATAGAAGCGACAAAGTCAGTGCAAGTGGTGATTTCGATTTAGGAATTAGTGATCATTGTCCTAGAGCACGTATTAGGAAACACACACCTGAAGAGAACCTCATCACAAATTATAGTTAAGAGAAATGTAAGAAATTGTAATGAACAAGCTTTTTCTTAACGACCTCTATGATAGTGGCATTTATCTTACATTCGGGAGTCTCGTGGTTGATGCACTAAAGAGGCATCCTACTGAGCTTCATTTAGAAAGATGAGAAGTAAATGCACTTCCCTTGATGGAAAAGCTACATCTGATAATTCTTGAACTTGGTCTGTGTAACCCTGCAAAATACTGGAGTTTTGGTCATTTCTAATAACCTCCTTATCTACTTATGTGAAGTTTGATGTATGTAATCATAGTGAGATCTGTTCAGCCTAAAATAGCAGCTGGTCACCTTTTATAAGGGTTAATAAGGGTATAAGGGTTCTAATGTAGGTCCACTTCTTTTTACATTTTATATTAATTTATAAGTTTCATCTTTAACTAACTGGCGTGCACATTTGAACATGGATGATATAACATTGTGTTCAAACATCATATAGACAATGTTGTCAAGAATAACGACAGAAACTTGTTTTTTGTATAGAAACAGAACAAACTGCCCTGTGCTCTGTAGGAAAAGGATTGTGGAAGCCGTTTTCTGTCTCTTGCATCATGGTGATTAAATTCACAGGCGTGCCTCTGCTCCACTTTTAAACACTTGGATCCTATTGATCATTCTGCCCTTTGGTTTATTATAGGTGATATTTATAGTACACATAATTGCATATGTATTTGTTTATCTACAAGGCCCTGATTAGGAATCTGCTATTATGCCATTGTATCTATACTAGACTGGTGCTTGGTCTTTCACTGTCCCTTAAGTCTTTACTGAACTTGGAAGATCTGCTTTTAGTTTTTATGCTCTGACAACCTGAAATTCTTTGGTAATCCCTTGGTCAGTTTAAATCCATGATCACAAATCATTCAGCTGTCTGTACCTGTTTTGTTTTAATTGATTTGTCTTTTGCATCTTGTATCTTTAATTAATTGTATTTTTATACTTGTTTTAATAATAAACTTTTATTATTTTGTATATTTTTTTAAGCGAGGCTTTAATACTAATCTCATACGATCTCTGTGGTCATGTCAGGTCGCTGATGATGGCTACGGGGTGTCATACATCATCGTGGGAGAGGATATGATCAACTTCCATGTGTCATCCAAATACTCCTGCAACGAGACTGTAAGTAAAACCTGTGTTTCATCAGTGTTTAAAAAGCACACCCGGAGTGACGTCACACTGAGATATTCAAGTTCTAGTGTAGTTTGAATAGCAGGAGGTATTTGACAGAGAACTGCCATTTTTCACATAAATAAATTCAATAAATTTGTCGTAAATAATTTTGTGAATAGGTTTGTATTGTGATGTCTCATTTGTTTTTTGTGTATATATTTTCTTCTCTTCCTTGTGTATATACACTATGTGTCTGTCTATCACTGTCAATGATTGAAAGACATTCCCATGTCTTATGTCCGGCTCATTCAGAGACATAACAAAGAAGCCAGGTGCACACAGTGACCACTTAAGGAAACAATTACTTAGGATGACTCAACCCGCCCTAAGTAAACAAGGACATATAAAGTCGGTAATCAGTCATTTAGTGTAGGTGTTGGAAGCAAGATACAGTAAAAGAGCAAACTTAATCTACTTAATCTACTTGTAATAAGAACTGGCACCTTAGCTAAACACAATTAAAAAGCATGTTAGGCGTGAGAGTAAGAATGATTGATTCCTGATTGTCTCCAACTGGTTCCACCAGAAAAAAACACTGCGTGGACTTGACATCAGTCCCAACTCTATTCATTCCAGGTGGAGCAGTAGTGTACACTGAATTACAGCAATAACAATTTAGGAGAAATCCATCTTTGTATTGTCTGAACACACATAAAGATACTGTTTATTCAGACGGACAGGCAGTTTCCCCCCTCTTACTCAATCTGTAACTTCCTGGTATGTTTTCACTGACCACTTCACTCACATTCTGTTCTGTGCAGACATGCTGACAAGCTGCAGATTGAGTAAGAGACCAGAGGAAAAAGCCCCCCAACACACACTCAGCTAGAATAACATAGTTTACTGTTTAAATGATTATTGATGAGCTTCTTCTTGAGTCTATGTAGCTACAAGCCCAAACAACCCATTAAGCTGTAGTCGTACAGTATATCAGCGCTGTAAGTGCTACTTGTGCCACTGCAAGAGAAGAAACATTCGCACAGGGTAAATGATACTGTACTAACGCTGTCTGTCAGTGTGTACATAAACAATGCAGGATAGAGAATGTCCTCTGTATCAACACGTTTGCAGAGGCATGCAGGATGATGCATGCAGCTTAATTAATCAGACAATTTCAATGAATTCTTGCACAATAACAGTTCAGTTTTATTGGTTCTAGTTTAGTGCAATCTGGCTTTACAGACATAAGGCAGGGTCGCGTCACTCTCCATTCACTGTTAAACCACAAAGCAGAAGACAGGGCGGCACAAACTGCACATTCCTTCAGTGTCACTTCCCTTTTCTTTTTCTCACTTTTTCTGCGTTCATGAATGGACTCAACAGAGAGAGTGATAAGTGAGCCAGTTCCATATATCAGTCAGTATTAGCTTATTGCAGATCTTTATGGTGTATATGTCTCTCGGTAAGTAACAGGAAATTGCAGGACAGAAATCCCAAACTAGGTCTGAGGATAATTCTTTGTCTAAAATACCTCTATCAGTATCCAGTAATGGTAGATCTATAGATCTTAACATGTATGACTTTATCCACTTCTCTTTCTCCACATCCTGTTGTTTCTCCCTCCTTCTCTGTCTGTGGTTTTGATTCTGTACACACGTCATTTATTCTGTGCCCTTCCCTTTTCTCACTCTCTTAATTCTTCCCTCTGTTTTTCTTCATTCCAGGACTCGCACAGATTCGGCTCTCAGATAAGCAAAGCTCTCCAAGACATCATGACTCTCCTCACTCCTGACACCAAAACCTCCTCGTCCACCAAGTCCACGGCCCAGCCTCAGTCCAAGAAACTCCTCTGAACGCAGCTGAAAACATGGGACTATGTGCGTATATATTCCCCTGAAGTCTACTCTGAGTGTAGAAACCATGAAGAACCCGTTAATTAGAACCTTACTGTTCTCATAAACTGTTATATCACTGACTTAGGACATTAAAGCATTAAATTAAACTGACTAAAGTTCATTTAAAATCAGCTCAATTCAAGAAGATAGAAAGAGAAAAACAAGACGCACAGAGGAAGCAACCATTGTCCAAAAGCCTTTTTGTGTAGATTGAACAAATATATTTGACAGCCGTTCAGCACTAACACATTTACTTTTATTTATTTTTCCGTGAGCCATGTCTGTTAGAGAGTCTGCTTGACAACAATATGACGACACAAAATGCTTCCAATCCTCACTTGAAAATAAAAACTGAGATTGGCGATTTTTAAGAGAAGGGGGGCCAAAGGTCAATACTTAAAAAAAAAAGGAAGTCTTTTGGAGAAATGTACGAGAGACAAATGAAGAACAGGCGGACAGAGTCAAGAGTTCCTAAATCTCACTTAAAGTGAAGGGGATTTTTTTTTTTTTTAGTTTCTAAACAAACCAAAGTTTCCTCAGTGTGAAATGATGCTCTGCAGCTCATCGCACTGACATGGTTCATAACAGTTTCATGTTGGAGATCATGGAGTGCATGTTGTAGTTCATTACTTTAAAAAAATCAGAAAAAGCTCAAGGAAGAAAGGAGGCGTAAGAAGAAGGGTTAGGCAGAGATTCATCTGAATGAAGGGAAAGATTTACTGACAGACCTCCGCCCCATATCTCTACTGTTACTTACTTTAATGTATCATATGAGACTAGCCAATTAAAGTCCTAATCTCATCTCTGGAAACGGCTGTTGCAAAAGTTCCCTTTTATTTTCACCTATCACCTGATCTCTGGACATTTAGCCCGTATTACCAGTTAACAACCAGATGTCTCTTTAGTTAAACCTTCGGTGACAGAGAGTTTCTGCTGCTGTTACAAGTACAAGTCACTGTGGTAACAGTAAAAATACACCCTAAAGGCTACCATGACTTTTACACAACACTTACTGATATATGTGTGCACCTTCAATGTGATTGCCGGATTCTGTGGTGACAGTTAAAGGTGCCCCCTGGGGTTTTCCTCCAAACCAACATACTGTGTCTTTCCTCAAGGTTTGACCTGCATGTTAAATCATAACACATTTGCAAAAACCAGTGTTTCAAAAAATTGTAAATCCAGCCTTGTTTTTATTCATGTTTCCTCACTGCCTAGCTGCAGGAATGTCTATCTCGTCACTTGCAAGCCGGCGCACGCACGTCTGCATCTGCATGATACAAAGATGAGAAGGACCCACTTGTGAAGAAAGTTGCTCCGTGGTGCTACTGGTTGTCAAAAAAAGGTTCCTTAAAGGCAAACGTTAACCTCCTCAGACAACTTTAATACCTGTGATTTCAGAGTCCTGAGGTTACAGAGTATTTATTTCATGTTGTGCAGGAGAGTTTGAAGTATTCACACGATTTACTCAAGTTAAAGTAGCAGTACCACAGTATAAAAATACTCCAAAGGAACACCTGCAGTCGCAGTTTTAGTGAACTGTACAAACATTATCAGCAAATGAACATTTGGTGACTTTGAACTTCTAACAACTTACAAGTTTACAGTTCACCACTTATCATTTATGAGTCATGTGGGAGGCTGCCAACACTTGTGAGCTTTGTGTAGCAGCCCAGTGCTCCATGGAGGAAAACCAAATACAAAATGACAGTTGAAAGTTTCCATTACATTACATGTCATTTTATTTGATGTGTCATAAATTTAAGTTTAACGTCGGTCATTCAAGAAAAAGGGTTTGTATCCAGTGGTTCCTTATGAATTCATATTTACAAGATTCAGGCGCAGTATCTGATGTTTTCAATATTAAAATAACCCTTTAAAGGTGAGAACTTTTTTGTTTTCTTTTTTTTTCTCAGGCTTTATTTTGACCGAGATCAGGTGATGACTAACTCGTAATGTAACAGTGAGATTTTATTTATAAGGAGGAAAGAAGGGAAGACAGAAGGAAGAAGATAAAGACACGCAAATGATGTCTTCTTTTCTTTTTCTTTTTTTTTACTTTTTACTTTCTCTTCAGTGGATTGTTTTAATAAGTTGTTGATGTTTTGTTCCAGATGTAACAAAATGATTGAGCTTCTCAAACACATCTGTGATTTACACACCTCTGATGGTTATTTTCATTCCTCTGACAAACTTTTTCAAATAGTCTTTCCTGAACCACCGGCCACTTGAAAAGATCAAGTGCTCCCGTTGTCTTGCGAAATGAGCTAAAAGTTTTGCGGCTGTTGCGTCATGGTTTTGGCAGGTTTGGTAAAAAATGAAAGGGATAAAAAGCTCCTGCCAGCTCTGACTTTCCTCTTTAAAAGAAAAAAAAAAACACACTTATTGGGGCAAATAAAACAGCTGTAAGGACACAATTTTAAAGGTCATGGTCAGGATTTAGGTTTATACATGTAAAACAATGCAGTCCATGGGTACGGAGTTTGATGAAATGTTTCCCTCCCCACCCTCTGATACTCGCACAGCAACTCATCCCTGTTTTATAGCTACTTAAGAAAACGTGTGTGCCTCAATTCAAGTATTCACTCACTAAAACAGTTTCAATGCAATTTTCAAATCAATGCAATTCCTAAGGGAAACCTTATAACATATTGTGTTAAGTGTCTTCTTTTGTGTGTTAATAAGAATGTACTACAGTTGGTTGGACGGCTATCATTAGCGTGGTCAAGATATATTCTCATGCGCAGTGATGTCAAGGCAAAACAATGACTCATCCACTGTAACACATGAAACCAGTTCAGCTACCAGTTTAGGTGTTAACCTTCCATTACATCTCTGCTCATGATCTAATTTTTATTTAATAATAATTTTTTTTTTCAGACAGATTGTTGGTTCAATATCTTAATAACCTCAGACCGCAGTGGTTCTGTTTCTCTCTCTCACTATTGCCTCATTTCCCAAACTGTTGAATGCCAGAGCAGCCACTTGTTTTTTTTTTTACGATCACCCCTGTTACTCAGCCAAAAGGCTCTTCTCTCAGTTTCATAAAAGATTTGTAAAGACAGTTGCTACAGCTGCAGCAAAGCACACAAACAACCTCTCTACCTCTCTACATTCATGACTTTTTTCTTTTTCCAGTTTCTATATGAAAAAGACCCCAAATGAACCGGCCTTGAGTTTCTTTTGTTTTTAACACAGTATAACTATTTAACAGAGTTTTGCTTTCAGGTAACAAAAGATACAAAACAAAACAAAAGCATGATCACAGACAAATGATAAAAAACTAAACTTAAAAAAAGATTAACGACTTGTCAAAGTCATGAAGTACGACAAAAAAATCAAGCATCAAAAACATTTGTCACATTCCCACGAAAATAAATTTTAAGATTTTGAAATAATCTTCCAATTCAATTACCCATGTCCACTCCTGCCTTCGTTGTTTACTTGACGAGTATTTTTGTAAACCAGTATCAGGAACCAAGAGACTCCCTTAGTCTCTTTTAATATGGGCCTTTTATAATGTTGGTACATGTAAGATTACTCTTCAGTTAAATGTTTCAGACCTGATTCTCACTAATATCTGTTGCTGTTCACTTCATGCCTCAGCCTGGCTGAAACACATAAAGCCAGTGAAACCAATCCTGTGCCTCAGTCTATTCCGCTGTGCCGCAAATATTTATTATGAAGATCTAAGTGATGGAGCCGGTGTCCTCTGATTTTCAATGGTTTGGACAATGAGCCCTTCGCCAAAAAATAAAAAAAGAAAAAAAAAAAAAAAAAAAAAAAGCAGCGAAGCTCGCATCTCGTAGCAGAGTTACAATTTCATGTAAGGACTAAAGGTTAACGTTAATATTAGCACTGTCTTTTCTTACTTTTTTGATTTTGGGATACATTTTATTGTCTATTTCTGTGTAACCTGGTACAACTACTGTTTTTACCCTTGGTTAATAGTGGTGATGCTTGAACGTTTTTGATGAATTTTTGGGTAATGTAGATGATTTTTTTTTTTTTTTCTTTTTTCTTCTTTTTTGGTATTGTAGTTAAATTGAATGATATCCCATGTTTACTGACTTTACACTCCAAAAGATCCTTATTATTGCTATGTTTTCAGTTTGTTTTCATTGTAAAAGCTATTTAAATGTACATTGTGGACTTTGTGAAGAAGGCCTTTTACAGATGGTGATGTCATGTTATGTAAAATAAAAATACTTACTGACGCTACAGTGCATCTGCATCTGGTCTTCATCAATGTGGGAGATAACAGATAGGTGTAATCGATAAGTACAATATTTCCCTCTGACTCATAGTGACATATAAAGTAGCAGAAAATACTGAAACTAAACCAGATCCTAAAAATAGCAATAAACAAAGTAAATAAATAAGCCAAAACGTCATAATCTGACTTTGTTTGGAAGTATTTCCTGTTTGGCATTAAGATTACTTACATTGTGTGTCCAGTGTCGATTTATTTCCTCTGTCTTGTTTTCCTAGAAGAAATAGAGGCCCCCCATCATAATCTTTACATCTTCTAATTGTGTTGTTTCCCTGCCTTTCTGATTGCCCACCCCAATGTGTTACCAGTGTCCTGTTACCTGCTTCCATTATGTTTATTAAAGTCTCTGACATCCGATCTGTCTTTGTCAGTCGGTCCTGTTGAGTTTCAGGGTTTCTCATGATGCTCTTGTTCAGTTCTCCTTGTGAGTCTCTGCCTTCCTGTTATCCTTTCATGCTCCTGAGTTTTTCCTTGGCTTTTGCATTTTGGATTTCTGGCTTCCTCTGCCTGGACTTTGCCTCACCCCTTTAACTAAAATTTTGTGTTTTTCCTTTGTTGTTGAATAAATCCTTGAACTGAACCAACCATGTCAGAGAAATCCTGACACCTTCCACCATGTAAAGGTACTGCAAGTTACCTGCTTAGAACCTTCGTAAAAGTGTTTAAGCAAAATTACTTTAAAAGTATGACTGCAAACATCCGCTTTGACTTATTATTACTAATATTATAATGCATTTCCACCAAAGCATTATACATAAGCAGCATTAAAGTTGAGGTTGAGGTTAAGCTAATTCTGTCTGTATTATCTATAGAGCTTAATATCAATAATTAAATACATTGTACTTTAAAAACTGATCATATGCTTTGGAGCTTAATCTGCAAATTAACTACAGGTGTTAATGTAATGAATTAACAGCAGGTCTATCATATACTATTATAAAACTTTCATAGATTTTCGAAGATGATTATTATTTAAACAAATAAAAAAATATATGAAAATGAAATCTTAGTAAAAAATATGAATAGAAAATAAAATAAAATAATTATAAATAAATAAAATAATATCATAATCTCACCTCTATGCAGCGCCACACCACGCAGAAAAAACTGAACAAGATACTCTTTTCCGTGCCACCGCAAGGTGAGAACTGGCAGGGGCACCGGCGGGGATTTTGGGCCCCATGAAAAGACATCGCATTGGGCCTCATCACCACAGACCAAACCAACCCTATAAACAGATATGCAGACAACATTCTGCATAAAGTGGAGTTCACTGATACAAGACTGAAACCCTCTGTAAGAAATGAACTAAAGGCCATGTTTTACGGTTTAAATAAAAATTTAATGCTAGAATTTCAGTTACTACCATTTTCTTGACTTAAATTAGCAGCATACACACCTGTTTTGGGGGCTAGACTGAAGCATTTTGTGTAAATGAGAAAAAAGGAAATGTGGAAGGATGAATTTATGTCATTTTATGTCCAAACAGTCCAGGGTCCCGACCACATAACAACTCTGGCCCTGGCTTAAAGTGAAATATTAAAAAGCAAAAAACACTTGATTGGTCCAAACTAGACAAAACATGCAATGGGTGGAGATGAGCATGATGCACCTAAGGGACTCTCAGACTGTGAGAAACAAAATTCCCTGGTCTAATGAAACTCTTGAGTGACCCAGCCAGACTCCCGACTTGAATCCAACTGAACATCTCTCATCCAACCTGAGAATCAGAAAATCCTCAAATCCAGATGTGCGAGGCTTGTTCCGTCATACCCAAGAAGACTGGGCTGTAATCACTGCCAAAAGTGCTTCAACTAAATACTGAGTAAAGAGTCTGCAAACTTTTGTCAATGTGATATTTCAGTTTTACCTTTATAATAAATTTGCAAAAAAATTCATTAAAAAATGTCATGACATTATGGTGAATTGAATAGATTGATGAAGGAAAAAATGATTGAAACTCTTTTAGCATAAAGCTCCAACATAAGATATGAAGGGGCCTGATTATAGTTTCTGAAGAGAAAGTATATTATATATTATATATCTATACATTGAGAGAAATAAATGTATAGATAAAATAAATTTATAAATAAATAAATAAATGTGGAAATAGCCTACAATTATATGAAAATAAACTAATGAATCATTTGCAACTTTATTTATTTGTTCTTATTTGGCTACATTTAAATGTATTTATTCATTTTTGATTAATGATATATTTTTTTTTATTCGTTCATTCATTTATTTCCAGTAGGGATCTCCGTCGTGCAGTCTGGATAAGATTACATAGAAAGAGAGTCCCTAACTTTCTCCGGGGAGTCAGTTTATTAAAGTGGCGTTGGTGTTTGTCGCTGCTCCTCATTTGGAAACTCCGGGATGATATCATGAGTATGGAACAATAGGAGGAGGGAGAGAAGATGGAAAGTGAAAGTAAAGCTGTCAAAAGGAGAACGAGTGCAGCCTCAAACCAGAGCAGACGCAGGCCGCCAGCAGAACAGCACAGACCGGTGAGTTCAACAACGCAGTTACTGTTAGTGACTTCATTTAGTGTGTGACTTGTTAAAATCCTGTGAATGTGACCATTGCTGTGGACATGCTCGGTCTGGATATGCGAGACTACATCTCTGTATGTTGTGGCAGAGCTCTGACAGAGGAGACGTGGGCAAACCGAAGTGCAGCCGCTAATTACTGCAATTTTTCTGCATGGCGGGTAGAGCGCAACAGGTGTGGGGTGTGCAGGTTGGACAAGACTGGACTACAAATGCATTAGTGTAACACGTCTTTCTCTGGGGTGTAGGTGGGGTGTGGGGTGTGCGGGGTATGTGTGTGTGCTTCTATGCAACTTGCATTCAGTGCAGGGAGATGGATTCCTTTCCTTCCAATAATTGTCTTTCCAGGATCTAGATATCATCTCTCACAGCAGTCCTGCAAATCCTCCATGTGGAGTGAAATGTTATCAACATTGTAAATTAGTGCATTTCTTCATAAGTTAATGTTTATGTGAAATTATTTTAGACGTGGGGCATGTGGTAGGTGGATTTTGGTTAATTTTATTTGGCAAAAAGTGTAATTTTGGTTCATATGCAGGAGAATATCTTTGCACAGCAAAAAAAACAAAAACATTTAGATAAATTGAGTATATATTTTACACCACTTAGTCATTTTTAAGCTTTTAAAAAATGTATCAATAGGTATTTAGTGATTGAATTAACCATCAATGTCATTATTCCCTAGTTTGCTGTTTCTGCTGCCCCCATGTGGCAAAAGAAATCAGTTATTGTAGGTTCAATAAACAGCCATAGCTCACCCATAGTTCAGAAAAGGCCAGATTTTCCCTGTGTGATACTTTTTACTGACCACTAGGGGAGAATGACCTGTACTAACCTGCTAGCATAGCAACATTAAGGCTACAAACAAATGCTCCAACCCTCTTAAAAATAACAGACTGGGAGTGTCCTGGCAGCTGAGTGGATGTTTCATCACATCATCATCAGTTCACATCAGGACAGAGACCAGTGCCCCCCCCCCCACCACCACCACCACCACCACCAACACTGCTTAGGAAGCTGTAAATGCTCCCCTAGAGCTGCAACAATTAGTGAATTAATTGATTAGTAGATCAAAAGAAAATGAATCTGCAACTCTTTTGAGAGTTTGTCTTACATGAATATCTCGGTCTGACAAAACAAGACATGTGATGATGTCATCTTGTGATGTTGGTTATTAGAGCAAACAATGAATCGATTAACCAGGGAAATAAGTGGCAGATTAGTTTAGTCCTCTAAGTTAATATTTTTTCAAGTGTAATTTTTCCATTAATTTTGCACACGCTTTGTTGACATTGAATAAGTTGTACAATATGTGACAATCTGATGTTTATGTGGTAATCCAGCTCAGGTTAGACCTGGTTGAGGTCTGTCTTGTCCTGTCGGGTTGCTCTCATGTAGTAACATGACGGCACAGCACAGATACAATAAAGAAGTACATGGAGCTGTAAGTCAACTGTATAACGTGGTTCTGTGCCAGTGATGTCAGGTTAACTGGCTGGATTGCAGGGATAATGAGGTGGAATGTGAGTTTCACTTCCTCTCTGAAGACTGTGTGTTTAGCCTTCTCCTTTGTTGGTCGCTGGCTTGTATTGTTGTTTTTGGTGATGAATAAGTGAAAGGGAAACTGCAGTTGATACCAAATGAATAAGAGGGATTTCAGTTCAATAGGAAGCAAGTTAATTGTATTTTTTTTTGGGCGACGTTCAGTCTCTGCTCACCCAAAGAACGTTTACAATTACTGTGTCTTAATACACAGATATGTCTAGTTTTTCCTCAATGGCATGATTTTTGATTTGTGCATGCCATGACTGTCTTGCTTTGATCTCGCACACACACACACACACACACACACACACACACACACACACATACTGTAATTCAAACTTTGTAAATCTGAATGGAGTGAGTACAGGGGCCACAGCCTGGACTGAGTAACAGCTGACAAACCCTGATGATAAAATGTCAGACACCACTCTCACTCTACATTCTTTGGTTTGACTAATGATATTGGTTTAAGGATCAGTAGCCTTGATTCCCCTGCACAGACAACAAGCCCTGGTTACTTTTAGCTTCTGAACTGCTGTTTAGTGATGGTATCACTTATACCTGAAACATAGAATACAATAATATAATTATATATATTATAAGAGTATATATATTATCAAAAAAAAACCTGAATCTTAATATGCATTATTAGAAAAAACGGAAATAAAATATATAAATATATACTGTATATAAAATATAAAAAACATGGCCCAAGCCTAATGGTTAATGATATATTCTTGAACTGAACGTTGTTTATGTCGAAGCGACGACAGCGATGACAGCAAACCCGCATATTGCTCTATGAAATGCCTTTCTGCTTCTTCCTCCATAGTGTGGGTCTGGATGGTCACGGTGGAAGCATGACATCATGGAGAAACTTTACCTCCCTGTTTCTCCTTGTAAGTGTCACCTGTGCAGCAATAATGATAATTAATTGTGTGTGTCAATCCTGATGTGAAGGTCAGAATTAGTGTTTTCAGAAGTAGCTGTAGATAGATGGAAAGTATTCACACCCCTTCACTTTCCCCACATTTTGTTATGTTACAGCCTTATTCCAAAATGGATTAAATTCCTTTTTTTCCTTATCAATCTACACACAATACCCCATAATGACAAAGCGAAAAAGGTTTTTTAGAAATTTTTGCAAATTTATCAAAAATAAAAAAATTGAACGTACATAAGTATTCACACCCTTTACTCAGTACTTTGTTGAGGCACCTTCGGCAGCGATTACAGCCTCAAGTCTTCTTGGGTATGAAACTACAAGCTTGGCACACCTTTATTTGGGGTATTTGTCCCATTCTTCTCTGCAGATCCTCTCAAGCTCTGTCAGGGTAGATGGGGAGCGTCGCTGCACAGATATTTTCAGGTCTTTGCTGAGATGTTCAATCGGGTTCAAGTCTGAGCTCTGGCTGGGCCACTCAAGGACATTCACAGACTTGTCCCGAAGCCACTCCTTCGTTGTCTTGGCTGAGTGCTTAGGGTCGTTGTCCTGTTGGAAGGTAAAACCTTTGCCCCAGTCTGAGGTCCTGAGCGCTCTGGAGCAGATTTTCATCAAGGATCTCTCTGTACTTTGCTCCGTTCATCTTTCCCTTGATCCTGACTAGTCTCCCAGTTCCTGCTGCTGAAAAACATCCCCACAGCATGATGCTGCCACCACCATGCTTCACCGTAGAGATGGTATTAGCCAGGTGATGAGAGGTGCCTGGTTTCCTCCAGTCGTGACGCTTGGCATTCAGGCCAAAGAGTTCAATCTTGGTTTCATCAGACCAGAGAATCTTGTTTCTCATGGTCTGAGAGTCCTTTAGGTGCCTTCTGGCAAACTCCAAGTGGGCTGTCATTTCCCTTTTACTGAGTAGAGGCTTCCGTCTGGCCACTCCCTACCATAAAGGCTTGATTGGTGGAGTGCTGCAGAGACGGTTGTCCTTCTGGAAGTTTCTCCCATCTCCACAGAGGAATGCTGGAACTCTGTCAGCGTGACCATCGGGTTCTTGGTCACCTCCCTGACCAAGGCCCTTCTCCCCCGATTGCTCAGTTTGGCTGGGCGGCCAGCTCTAGGAAGAGTCCTGGTGGTTCCAAACTTCTTCCATTTATGAATGACAGAGACCACTGTGCTCTTTGGGACCTTCAATGCTGCAGAAATTTTTGTCTACCCTTCCCCAGATCTGTGCTTCGATACAATCCTGTCTCGGAGGTCTACAGACAATTCCTTTGACTTCATGGCTTAATTTCTGCTCTGACATGCACTGTCAACAGTGGGACCTTATATATAGATGGGACCTTATATAGACAGGTGTGTGCCTTCCCAAATCATGTCCAGTCAATTGAATTTACTACAGGTAGACTCCAATCAAGTTGTAGAAACATCTCAAGGATGATCAGTGGAAACAGGCTGCACCTGAGCTCACTTTTGAGTGTCATAGCAAAGGGTGTGAATACTTATGTACATGCAATATTTCAGTTTTTTATTTTTAATAAATTTGCAAGAATTTCTAAAAATCTTTTTCACTTTGTCATTATGGGGTATTGTGTGTAGATTCATGAGAAAAAAAAGGAATTTAATCCATTTTGGAATAAGGCTGTAACATAACAAAATGTGAGGAAAGTGAAGGGGTGTGAATACTTTCCAGATGTACTGAAGATAGATAGATAGATAGATAGATAGATAGATAGATAGATAGATAGATAGATAGATAGATAGATAGATAGATAGATAGATATGTACATGGATGGATATAAAACAGTGCCGAGGTGAGCAGCCTTCAGGCAGCCTCTGCCTCCTATATAACTTTTTATTGTTATATATGTTTAATATCTCTTCAATGGTGTTGTTAATTTTTTGTCTGCTAGGTGCTCCCCCTGATTGAGCTGTCAAAGGAGGGCTGTTTGGATTACCTGTCAGAGAAGGGAATGGTATATGCTCATCAATCACTATAAACTGATCAAAACAGTCATTTTTACAATAATAACTTGTAGAGAATGAAAAATGAAAATGAAACTATGAGTAAATGGCAGCACTCCCAGGACCCCTGGCAGATTATGTTTTGGTAACCTCCTGACCTCCCGGTATTTCACTGTTACTGGGAACATAACAATTACAGTAATCATTGGCTAATAACAAAAGAGTGATAAACGGTGAATAATACCTTCTGTTTGTCTGCTCCTCTGATCCACTTCAAGGCCATCAACAATCTGTCATATTTGGTCCCCCTTATAAAAGCCAATAGCGCCAAGGTAAGTTACCGAAACAGTTTGCAAAAAATCTAAGTCTGTGTAACTCTGTGTAAATGCATATTGTTAAACAGGGACTGACCTGCATTTGATGAAGTGTACCTCTGTCCTTTTTTCCAATACAGAACACACTCTTATGCACTCTGGAAAAAGGGTGCAGTAGGATTAGAAATGAAGGCAGAAACGATACAGAGAAGCTGTGCAGTCTGTATTATGACTGCTTTCCAGTGAGTGAATGACAAAAAGTTTTTACTCAAATCATGTCACCTTGTAGTTCCATGCTTCATATGAATCGATGATCAATTATTGTATGTGATTATTTTGTTCCTTTTTTCCGCCTCAGAATGACTCACAGCTTGACCAGGGATTATGTGAAGGGTTCAGTGGTCAGAACATCTCTGTGTATAACCTGAGGTGCTTAACAGCCACTGCAATCAATCAGGAGATTAAATATAAAGGTATCAATCACACTGATTCTCTCAAACAGTCAGTGGTGGCTTGTTTACCGGGATGGGACTGAGGGTCTGCTGCTCTTACTAGCTTTACATACATCACATACACACCTCACTTGGAAAAATTAATGGATACCCAAGCTTACTACAAGTGGAGACATGAATATGTGTAAAGTACTGGAACAAAATCGACCCTCAGGCCCACCCAGTAAACCAGCTACCACTTATATATTCTGGAAACAAATACCTGATGCTCCGTCACTGAGGTGAAATCAGCAGGAACAAAATGCTTACTTTTAAAACATAAATATCTTGCTGGCGATTTCAAACAGTGACGGGATAAAATACTAAAAATTTACACAGATTTAATGTCCAATTCTTGCTGTAAAATCATCACCAAACCTGAACATGAAAGCTGTTGTTAAATTGTCAAATTTGTAATTTACTTTTCTGTCTTTCTTGCATCACAGGCTGCAACTATGGTGAGTATACGTGCTGCGCTGTGAGTGTGCGTGGGTGTATTTGCTGATATGAGATCTGGCAATGAAACTGTCTTATCAAGTTTTTGTATTTTTAGTTTATTATCTTAATGCATGTCATATTATTCTCATCTTTTTAGATCATGTGTGCAATCTCTATTCGGAACTGAAATCTACGGGTAAGCCACACATTTTTGTTTAGACATGCAATTTGAGACGTGCATTTGCAATCCCAGAAGTCAAGCATGCTGCTGTATAACTGCAGTGCTCCGTCTCCCCACCCAGTAACACATTTCAAATGTACTGAAATAGAAGGTTTTGTTTTTATTGTTTAATTAATACTAATTGATGGATTATTTTCATGGGTGACGGTCTCTGATTTGATTAAAAACTACTACTTTTTTTACTCCCCACATCCTGGAGTATCAATCCCATCTGAACAGGGCTCTAGCGTAAATTTAAAGGTCCCATATTTTACACTTCTCCTGTGTTTTATTTGTTTTATTTATTTATTTCATTGTGACATCATAAAGTTACAATCCTGACGGCTCATTTTAAGGCTCAGTTTCTGAATACAGGCTCTGTGAACTGACTGAGCACAGTGATAATTTCATAGTATTAATATAGAATCTGGACCTGCTTTATTATCAAAAACACATAGAAATCTCACTTAAATACAATATGGGACCTTTAAGTGAAAAAACTTTATGATCATAAGTGAAAAGCAATTCTAAATCAAGTTTCCTGTACCTCTAGTGCAATGTTAATATTTGCACTGTACTGTCATCGTAACCATAGGTAGAACACAGTTGCTAGCCAAGTGATAATATCAGCATGCTAACATGCTCACAATGATAATGCTAACATCCAGACAGAGCAGGTATGATGTTTACCTGTTCTCCAAAAAACTACAAATGTGAAACTCTTAGTGCCGCTAGAGAAAAAGTCAGGGAATCACCAGAGCCAGATGGGTGCAATATGTACAGTATATATGTTATGTTAACGTGGAAGCTGGACAGGTCTGAAACTAGCAAAGACACTTGCGTTTCGCTTTGCGCCACGTGATAGCCACAGATAGTACCCGCTACTGAGCAGCTTCACCAAGTTCAACCCAATAAGAAACCAAATGGAAAGTGTGTTTTCTGCTGAACACAGACAAAGTACCAGTGCACCAGTGGAATCAGACTAACACGAGCTTCACATGCAGCAGAGCAATTCAGCATCCCCACAAATGACTTAACAGGCTTCTTATTTCACTCTGTGTGGACTGTGTGCAGTGTTACACATGCGTCTGCAGCTGTAACAGTAAAATATATGCTGTCATTTCACACTTCATTTAGAAATAACTCACCTGCTGCTGAGCTTCACAAAACCTCTCCTTTTACTTTAAGTTTTGTATCTGGTTTGCAGCACAGATTTCTGCAAAAGAAAAAAATCTAGCTAGATTCACGTTTATCCAACAAGAATCCTTATAACTAATTCTCTCAATACCAGGGGTGGACCGTAACAAAGTACATGTACTTGAATACTGTAGATAACTATGAGTATCTGTACTTACTTACTTACTTACTTTTACTTTTACTCAGACAAATATTGTACTTTTGACTCCACTACATTTCTATGAAGTACTCGTTACTTTAAAGCAAAGTTTTTAGTCAGAGGAATTTTTTTTACTTTATTTTAAAATGTGATAGACCAATATAAAAAAAATAAAGTAAATCATTAGGAACTGTGCAATGATGCATTGTCATAAAAATAAATGAATAAATAAACTTGTGGTTTATTGTGTTAGTAGTAGTGTTATTTTTAAAAGCAAGTACTCCAGTACTTAACTCCTCCACTCAAGGAAAAGTTTGACTGAACAACTTCCACTTGTATTAGAATAATATTTGACCAGGAGGAGCTCTGCTTTAACTCAAGTAATGGAGCTGTGTACTTTGTCCACCTCTGCTTAGCCTAATCAGTTCAAAGGAGCCATCTTGGTAATGAAACACAGCCTTACTGAAAAAAATCAAGAACTGAGGGCATGACCACCAACTAAATCAACACATACAGTATAGTTACAAATCCAACATTTTTGAGTTTCCTGTACTCCCTGTACTTCCCGTCCTGTCCTTAAATCCGGCCACTAACTTTTCTTATTCTGATACAAACATTTCTGCTTCTTTTCCCTGATATACTACAAAACATATATTTGCTTTTAGTGTCTGCAAAGCCCATATTGTCAGATTTCATCACTGACTGAGTTGCCTGCAATTTTAGATCAAACATCACCGCCACCAACAACAACACCGTCAACAACAAGAGCACTGCCACCAACAACACCGTCAACAACAAGAACACTGCCACTAACAACACCGCCAACAACAAGAGCACTGCCACCAATAACAACACTGTCAACAACAAGAGCACTGCCACCAATAACAACACCGTCAACAACAAGAACACTGCAAGAAACAACACCGCCAGAAACAGCAACAGTATTGCCGCCAATAAAAGCAACACCAAGAGCACTGTCAATAACAACTACAGCAACAACAATAGTCACACAGAGTGAAGTTACAGGGAGTAATGGTAAGATTTATATATTTTATTCAAGTCATGGCTGTAGCAACTACACTCACTGGTTTACTGATTTTATTAACTCACAAATCATTAAACCTCAAACACACTTCCTGTCAGGAGTTTGTTACATTGCAGATGATCATAACAACACTTGTGTCTGTCTCATCCACTGCCTGTGTAACACTCCTGGATTCTTTCCATGGAGAAACAGCTGTGCACTGCCCTTTATCAGAGGTGGCATTTCCTAAAGCCTAACCATTCCTCACCCTTGAAACTTGTTAAAAACAGAAACCTAAGTTTAGAAAAACTTCTGCAGAGCTTGCTCAAAGTACACTCTTCAATCTCCTCGAAATCTGTGGAACAAGTTTGTGCCCACACCTGACAACAAACTTGGACAAGCTGTAAGATTTATGTTGTATCAAAAGACTCATCTAGCAAATGGACGTCTGGTTACATTTCCTGCTTGCATTGAAGAGCAGCACACAGCCGCTTCGCCCTGAGTTTTTCAGCCTCAAACAGGGCAAAAGGAGAATATGTTCAATGCTACAGTGCACTAGTGGTGAAACTAACCTAATCATGTTAAAACAATAAATGATAACTAGAAAATTCCAGGGAAATTTTGAGTGCCACGGGGGCTACTGCCGGGATGAGTACATGATTTATTTCCAGTGTTCAAAAGTCACCCTGATCATATTCTGGTTTTGAGAAATGTCTTGCTATAAAAGACTCTGATATAAAACAATGTCACATCCCTCCATCATGTATTATGTGGGAAATATCTCATATTCTGTGTTGTTTTTTTTTTTTATAAAACAAGAGGCAACATGTCTTCAAACTGGCATTTAAAGGGTTAAAATCCTGAAAACTAATAAACATTTGGTAGGTTTGAGCAGAACTGAAGTGGTTTAAGAGATGTATGCAAAAAAAAGCAGAAAAAAATATTGATATATGATGATTTTATAGCATTTTCTTTGGGTGTCCTTTTTTGGACGCGAGGAACCCCAGAGGGTACAAAATGTGTTACCAGTGTATAATAGACCTGTAACAGTAACTGACATTAGATTTTAAAAATATGTCAAAAAAGACACTTTCTTGCAGAAATCCATACCTTCAGCTGTAACACAGCCAAAATGATCAGCTAATCAAAAAAGAAAAGTGAAGAAAATGTCCAAAAAAGGACAGAGGGACCCCTGAGGGTTAATAAATCCCATGAACCGCTATTTAAATTACCGCTATTATGTTTTTTTCGGTGCTAAATTTAACATTACTGGGGAGGAGAGCAACGCGACTAGAAGTGACAGCGAGAGAGGGCTAGTAGCTTCTCCTCTCCTCTGTCTCAGCGGAGACCGTCACAACTTCATTCACTCATTTAACAAAACTAAAAGAAAAGCAACAAAGGAAGCAGTAAATGGACTTACATATTTAAGACCTAATTAAATGTAATTTAAGACCTAACATGCGGCTAATGTAAAGCTAGCGGAGTTGTTGTGTCACGTCAGCTTACTGAGTCAAAAACTGATGATGTGACTCCTTAGGAAAACAAAGAGAAAAATGTTCACTAATGTGGTAGCTGATGATGTGGAGACAATGGCGTCCCTGCTTCCTAATATGTTGCCAGTGCTGTTGTTGTGCTGATGTTGCATGTTGCTTTATCCGAGGCTGTTTTAGCTGCATGGGCCTTGTCTTTTATAGTAGGTGCTGCAATCTATCTGAAATCGAACCATTCCCTAAACAAGATTCCAGTTTGTGGTTTTCGTTTTTCATAATATTTTGTCAGTTGTGAAATTTCTTGAATCGGGAATTTTTACACTTTTAAATATTGCTGAGGAGTTCTCAAAAAATATGGAAATTGTACTGATGTAAGTTTGTTTTTTCTCTTTCCATAGCCGCAGCTTTAACAAGTAAACATGAAGCAGGTAAGATTTTTTTTTCTTGATTAAAATGTCTATGTTTGGGTCAATATGAATATGTCAGGTAGTTCATAAAACCTTGGGAAATTGTGAAAAATAATAATCGCGTGTCTTCAGACTGCATGATTTATCTGACCAACCACAAATCCTCAATTTTCAGGATCCAAATTTGAATTTTTGTTGATAAATTACTTAAATAATTAATAAAACAATTAATCAGTTATTAAAATGGTTGCCAGTTACTTTTCAGGCCCATGTTTCTCCTCTGTGTATTGTTAAAACAAGACATTATAATTAAAGAAATAATTAAAGAATAACATCTTTGCCTTACACTTTAGGTTTGTAATAGTACTGACATAGTTTTTTTTAAATCTTTCCATAGACAATAAGAGTATAGACGACAAAGGTCAGCATTTTTTCCTTCATTAAGATTTGCAGATTTTGGTTAATACAGATAAAGTTTTTATTTCTCATTATAATTATTTCAATATTATTTATGATCTTTTGTCAGTAGGCGAGCTGGCTTCAGATGTTTATCACTAGGTTGGACTTCTGAAATCAGCTGGGCAATAGCTAATGTACATTACTTGGTATATATTTGTACTGTAAGTATAATATATTGGAACAAATTATTTTTAATTTACATCTCCATTTACCATCTTCCTCTAGTGCCTATGTAGCCGTCAGCTCTGAGCTCAGGTCTTAGCTGGTTTTAATGTTTCTAACAATGTTTCTGTCCCAACTGAAACGATTTGACTCAAAAATTTGTTGAGCACAGGTTAATTAAGAGTTTAGCTAAGGGTTTTCAAGACTAATTGACTGATGTATGCCTCTGTTGTTGTTTGTTTGGTAACATTAATGGAAGTTGTCTCTGTCTCTGATCTCTCCTCAACAAGGTCCTGTTAACATGATGAGTTTATTAATGATTTCCATGATCCTTAACCTGCTCCTGCCACTGACTGTTTACCTCCTCATGCGCATGAGGACACAGAACCGGACTCAGGACCGGATACACATGGTGAGTGTAAGCAAAAATGTGTTTGTTGTTTAAATTGATTGCTCCAAATAGATGACAACCAGTGTAACAGCTACACTGTGAGCACAATCAGCATAAAAGCCAGGTAGCAAAATACATCTCTCAGATGCGCTGTGATGCATCCTCAGTGATGTTCCTGGGGTCATCAGGGGTTTCGGGTCTTTCAACATCAGACCCCCTCAACCCAGGTGAGCCAGATGTGAGCCACGGGCTTGCTCTCTTTGCCCAAAGCGGTCCGGTGGCTCTCTCTGCAGCTTCGGTGACAGACCGTATGGCCCCTGTCTTTGCTGCTCCAGAGATCCCTAACCCAGTCACGGCTTTACAGAGCGAGCGCCCTGCGAAACCTTGACACTCATTTCAGTTGCGAGCATGCCAGCTGTGCTCTTTTCACCAGCTGCTTAAGCATTATCAGCATAACAGATATTCAAGTGACCTTTAGTGTGATTTGTTCGAGGAATCGTGGAGTGCGTGTTACAGTTTCCCAGTGAAAACTTGTGGGTAGTTTAAGGAAATATTTGAAAATCTCAGTATTAAAAAAAAAAAACCCTTAAATGCTGATAAATAAATGAACCCCTGCTTGTTGTGCATTTACATGTAGCGCAGCATCAAAGCAATTCTTTCTTTTTCAGGATGGACTCTGGAGGGACCCGGGAGATTGGCCGTTGGAGGTACTATTGCAGATATTTTTCAGTTATGGTGAAAACCTGATTCACACTGTGTCTTTATAGTATGAGGAGTGCAGCACTTCCTACTAAGCCTGCGGTGATGATGTTGTAACACAGTAGCTTTGGAGGGTATTCAGACCTCGTAAGCTTCTGCACACTTCATAGATACATTTTGGCAGTTTATCTTCAGCTTATCTCGGAAGATGTTCTGTAGGGTTCAAGTCTGGACTTTAGCTGGTCAATTGGAGGTCAGTCAGAGACTTGTCCGGAAGCCACCCCAGCACTGTTTTGGCTGTGTGCTTTGGGTCATGGACCTCTCTGTATTTTGGTTTCATCTCTCCATAAGTTTGCCGGGTTTTGGCCAGACAAAATGTTATGCATAACTCCTCTAAATGCCATCTGGGAAATCGCCATACGAGCTCTCCCAGGCCATTTACCCATATACTCAAAGTGGTTTTCTGTCATGCCACTCTACCATTAATAGTTTTCTCATATCTGCAGAGGACTTCAGCAGTCGCTCTGTTTGAGTGACTTTTGGGTTCTTGCCAACTCTAGGAAGAGTCCTGGTGGTTCCTAACTTCTTCCACTCCACAGTTTTATCACAGAGAGTTCATTAGACTTCATGGTTTGGTTTTTGTCCATTTATGCAGTGTAAACAGTGAGTTCCTATATAAACAGGTTTGAACCTGTCTAAACTATGTCCACATTTATTTAGTTTGCCACAGGTGGACTCCGGTCAATTTCCAGACACATCTCAAGGATATTTAGAGAAAACAAGATGCACTCGACAGTTTGGAGCATCACAGAAAAGAGGCTGAATAGAGATTTCAGTTTTTGATTTATAATAAATTTGCAGAAATTCCTTAAAACACATTTTTACTTTGTCATTATGAGTTATTGAGTGTAGATTGATGGTCAAAAATGGCAATTTTATCCATTTACAATTAAATCTACATCGCAAACTGTGCAAAAGGTGAAGGGGTCTGAATACTCTCTGTACAATTACTACTTTTCATCTGATCATTTTTCTGTGGTCTGCTCCTGGAACGTGGATGTTAATGATGTTTAGCGTGATAAATCTGAATGAACCCAGTTAACAAAATGAAACTTCTGGCCCAACATATGCCTGGGTCTTCTGCCCAAGTCCGGCCCATAAACACCTGGGCAGATTCTGGCTCTTATCCTTCAGTATTAACTGGGAAATTTTCTCTGTGTGCACCAGAATTGGTTCAGATGTAGAAGTAGTATCTGCAATCATGCTATATATGGGCTGGATTTAGGCCACAGAACTGTGCGCACACTGAGCCAGAAGAAAACAAACATGTGACCAGATATATTTTGATCTCTGGGCAGGGGGTCAAGGGGTTGTTGTTTAACCAGCTCTGTCTGTGGGTCAAGACAGCTCACATTAGCTGCATTTTATTATTAACAGACAGGAGTCATACCACTGATTTTCAAGTTTCTAAACAAAATCTATGTTCACAGTGTACTGCAATAAAGTAACAGCAAAACAGTGGCTGTCTGGAAGGAGGTAAATGAAACCAACAATGATAGTAACAGTCAGAAAATAGGCAAAAAGTGCTTTAAATGCCCAACCCTGCCACTGTAATAGAGTGTGGATAGTTAGTATCCACTCAAATCACCTCAGTAACCATCAGTGTTACCCAGTACTGTCTGATTGAGTGAATGTTTTTGTTTTAACTAGTGTTAAAACCTTTATGAGTGATTCTCAAAGCAGTGAAGCATAGAAGTTAATTTGTCAGCTCCAGTATCTGTTCGGGGTGAAGACAGAATCTGGTCTTTCCAAAACTTGGTCAGTTTCTTTAAGAGTAGTAATTTACTACTGTACTCTTAACCAAACCTGGCTTTCCCTCAGGCATCTGAACCCACATCCCCTGGGAATGAAGTAGAGACCACGCAGTTAATGCAGGTAATTATGTCATTATAATGTCTGTGTGCTTTTCCCAGCGTGGCCTTTAAAGTAGCTTTGTGTTTTCATGGTTTTGCTAATGAATGTGTTGTGTGTGAAAGCTGAATTAAGTGACCAGAGAGAGTCCAGGCCGTTATCTGTCCAGAAAAGACATCTGGATCTGTAGCTTCTAGAGACTTCTCTCTCTGCTGGGCAGGTAGTGAACAGCTGACTTGTCTGAGCTTGTTTGAGATCCTGTTAAATGTCTCAACATCTTCTGGGTGGATTGACACAAAATTTGGTACAAAACTTTAATGGTTCCCAGGTGATGTATTCATGTCAGTTTTGATGTAGCCCCACCAGCAGTGTGACATTTCTAGCTAGCAGATGCAAGTTTGTTAGCAAATGTTAGCATGCTGAAACCATACACTGAGATGGTGAAAATGGGAAACATTACTTATTACACTTACAAGGCATGTTAACTTAGTCAATAAGAGCATGGTATCATGCTGATGTTAGCGTTTAGCTCAAAGCAGCAGCCTCACAGAGCTGTTAGCATAGCTGTAGATTCTTGGTCTTGTTAATGTGTCTGTCCATGTCTCACAGTCTCTTGTTTCTCTCTTTGTCTTAAAGCCCACTGAGTGTCACTCCGTCGTCACAACTTCAGCTGATACGATTGAGGAAGACTGCACCGTGGGAAACTCATTGCAAGGTTAAGGATCGGATTTACAGCACTGGCTCTGTGTATTCTTCATGCAGCAAAGCTGTGGGATCAGGATATCAGGAGTATCAGCTCCACACTGCTTCGTAACAGGTGATGCCTTTTTCGGGGGGAAAAAACTCAAATGTGAACTTCAAGCATGAGGAGAAGTGAGAGGGAACGAGCTGCAGCATGCCAACTCACTGATTTGTAAAGCAATCTGTTATCGCGATGAACCATTGCATTACTGCAGGAAGTGAAATGAAGGGCAACAGGACCTTAAGGTCACATCGGACTGGAACAAATTTTGAGGAATTTGTGTGTGCCCCATTTTTGTTTTCACTGACCAGGAGCTGACCAAACAGAAACACATGGGTATTAATAAAGATGTTGATTTAGAGACTGTTTCCCAAAGATGACAGAGAGGACAAAGCAAACACCAGAATCAGTTTAGTTTAGTTTATTTTGGTCATTTTCCAACTTTATTTTTTTGGGCACTAAAACAAAAGATAAACCAGAAAAAAAACAAGTACATTTTAAATGTCAAAACAAAATGCTCTCACTGGGATTATAATCACCAAAAAACATTTTAGAAAACAACTGGCGCAGATCTTACCAGAGAGGTTGTCTGATGGTGGGGCTTCATTACACCTGATGTCATAGCTACTGGTTTTTGTTTGCATCAGCGATGGCAACGCTTATAAAATATACTCCACATACTGAAGTTTGCTGTATACGCTAAGCTATCTCTAGAGTTAAAGTCTGCAGCCCTTTCCATAACAGTGTAACCATATGATATTTCATAAACTGTGAAATTATACCGTAGTTGAAGGGAAAAGTTCTGCCCTCACAAGCTTTGTTAACAGACATCCAACAGTGTGCGTTTGTCTGTGTGTGTGTGTGTGTGTGTGTGTGTGTGTGTGTGTGTGTGTGTGTGTGTGTGTGTGTGTGTGTGTGTATGTGTGTGTACATATATTCCTTGGAAATGTTACAAATGGCTCTCAAACATATTCAAACTAATTACTAACTACTGACTAAACTAAGTCTTTTTTGCTTCTAGATTATGAGCCTGTTTGTACAGTGTTTGTGTTGAATAAATTCATGGTTCAACTCATGTTCAACCATTTAGCAAATGTGATGTTTTGCTTTTATACTTTTTGAGTCATTCAGTTTATTTATGGTGCTTTTAAGAGACAGAGTGCGACTGACAAGGTGTTTGTGTGTGTGCATGTGAGGTTTTACACATGTAGCTAGGAACTGTGTACTTGTGTACTGTACACTCTGATCAGGGCTGAATCATCATGTATAGACTGAAGTATTTGAAAGGTGAGGAGGCAGAGATGACCTGCAGGCAGTAATAATCTCACTGGTTGAGATTAATCTGCGAAAGGTCAACAAAGACAGAAAAAAAAAAAATCAATTCAGTTTGAATTAGTCAGATAGGTAACTCCCACCCTGAAGCTCCATCCTCTGATGTTTAACTCCTCCCCTGTAACTGTGCTACAAGACCAGCTCTGCGTACCACATATAATTACATAGGTCTACACAAAATCCAATGTATTTACATAACAAAGATTCAAAGTTAACTTTAGAAAAGCGAGATTGTTGATATTTTTTATTTTGGATTCACATATTGGAGATAAAATGGATTTGTGCATAGTAACCAGAGGATCTAAGCTATCACTGGTGTCTGTGTTTTTATTATTTAACTCCTGTGGAATTTTTTGTTTGTATGTGTTTTGTAAAAAGTGAAGAAAAAATATTTTCATTGTACATTTACTGTATGTTTGTGTAGAATTCTTCTGTGATTTAAGCTTCTCTCAGACTATCATGATGGTAGCCGTTTTTGGAGAACATTTAGACACGCCATGTAAATGTAATGTTAATGTTTTGCTCCAGGCCCGTTCACCTCAGTGTCCTCAGGTCACTTCCATTGCTCTGTGCCACCATGGCTTTTTTGATCCTACCACTGGGGGACACCAAAGTCCAAAATTAAAAATTCTTCACATAGCAACTTTAAAATGTGTAAACACCATGACAGTGCTTAACAAATAAAGTTGACATTGGTGACATTGTTTGTTTAGAGGCTATTCCTTTCCTGCTTCATGTCTTTCTTTTTTGTATTCCTTAAACATACAGTAACTAATTTTCTTTTCTGGCCACTTTTTTTTGGGGGGATGTTCTCAGGGGAAATATCTGAAATCCTCTAAACCTTCCACTATGTTCACCAGCGAGTCTTTTTAGTACTGAGCAGATTTTGTACAGTGGGTTTTTAGAGCTTTTTTTCCAGAAAACTGCTGCCTGGTGTGGCCGAAAATGACGCTATTAGAGCGGTGAGAATGACCCAAACAGTAAAGCCATGGGCCAGACAACTAAATGAGGTGAAACTGAAATGCTGGGGGAAGCTCATAGACTGTATAGATTGACATAGCGTCCGTGACATCAACCATAGGTTTGTGAAGAGTGGTTTTGAAGTGAGCTGCTCCGCCTTCACCATCTTGGCAATGCCTGACTCCATCGAACTCCCGGGTAATCAAAAAATAGGCAAAGAAGAGGGGCATGTGTGAATGCCGGTTTGTGGCAAGCATTCGCTCAACCGCCTGTCAATCAAAGCTGCACGCCCTCAATTATGATTCACTTTAAACCTTAATAAAATTTAAACTGGTGAGAAAAATTAACCCCCGTACAGTTGTCATACGAGGAAATTAGCTATAGCTATATATGACCACTTTTGGAACCAGACTCAAGTGGTAATTTGAGGAACTGTATTTTTTGGCATTTCAGGCTTTTTCAGCCCCATAATTTGCCGCTTGGAGGAGCTGCAGCTATAATTCTCTGTACATTCATCACCACCTTGATGACATGTTTTACAGTGTTTTGAGTTTCAGTAGATTGCTCAGCCTCAACACCTGGCTCTCATCTGCATGACTACAAAGTCTTACACTTTACTGAAATTGATTAATTGATTGGTTTTAATGTCTGCTGGGAATGTGGACGACTTTTTAGTGCAGATGGCCTTTACCTGAACAAAGGTGGTATGCATCCCCATGCCCCCTTTTCTACCTGCCCATCACATCTCCACAACATGCCCATCCACCACTTCGAGCACTGACCGGCCCCACAGTTAATGATGCTCCGCTGGTCCCAGTTCCTACCACAAATGTTCCACAACATATACAGTCACACTCACCAAGCATTTCCAATGTCCCTATCAGGATTACTAACAAGTAAAGAAGTTAGACAAACAATTTAACAAAAATCCAGACAACAACCCCAGCCCCCGTCTTAACCCAACAGACTACTTGACTCACCTCAACATCAGATCCCTCTCTACTAAAAAATATTTATTTCAAATGATTTTATTTCTTCAGCTGATTTAAATTTTATGTTTTTAGCAGACTCTACGGTTACATTCCAGTTATCAGTCATCTTGCTGGATCATGTCCTCCAGACTACGACTGCTTTGTTTTAGATTGTACTGATTTTTCTTCCTTCCAGGGGTTCTTCTCTGAACCTCTTGGCCATCACCCAGTTATAGTTGCTAAACATGCCGACTCCTTTTTGATGAACTATCTGCCCGAGGAAATAAAGCTGTTTGAGTCAGTGCCATCTTATCAAGACTCCTCTTAAAACAAGCTTCTACCAGAAAGCATATCCTCATTTTACCTGAGCTGCCTGTTTATTTAATTGTTTACTTTAACTGTTTATTTTACTTTGCAACTGTGTTTTGAAAAGTGCTATTTGAATAAAGTTATTATTTATTATTAACATATTACTATTATAAAAATATCAATTATGTTGTATGTTTTTATGTTAGATGTTGGGAAGACAGACTAATGATTACATGGGTATGAGTAATGATTACATATCCTGTTGGGTGCAGGTGAAGTGGTCTCAGACTTTTGGACTGCACACTGTGTATATTACATTAACTGTTTGGTAGACATCAACATGCTAGCATTACCCTTGTAAGCATGTTAGTCTTGCTACATGAGTTCCTTACCATCACCGACTTACCATCCAAACATTGTTGGAGAAACTGCAATTGTATTTGTGCAAAACAATTAAAAATATCTATTTTTAAATAAAAGGATCTGTCAGGAGATATGTAGAACGTCACATCTCTCATCTAAAGAGAATATGTCAGAGATCACAGAATTTTTAGACTCACACTATAAGATTTTGTAAAAACTGTTGATCTTTCAGGGTCCCTATTTGGAAGACGAGATTCCTTTGATATTATTTCCCATCATGCTACTAGTGTAGATATACAGGAAGAAAAACCTTTTTTTTTCCCAGACTTTTTTGCTGTTTGTCATTCTACATTTTTTTTATTATTACTATATATATATAAAGTTAGCAACTCAATGCAATAATTGTCATGATCTGTTTCTAAATGACATTTTTTGGACTTTGTTTTTATGATTTCTTGTTTTATTTTGAAATGATTTCCTTTTGTTCAGTTACCCTTGTCTCTCTTATATATTCAATATTATGATAATAATTAACATGTTTTATTTCATCAGAACATCAAGACATGTCTCATGACTTTAGACAGCTTGGACGATCACAGAGATGATGGAAGCGCACTGTAACTTAAGAGCAAGTCTGTTTGTAGGTTAGTGGTTCTTGCGTAAGTCCCAAAGTCTTCAACCTGAGAAAGTGCGAGTCTGAACAAAAGGTATCTGTTTCAGTCAATCACCCTGTCACTGATGAGAGTCATCAGGATGAGGGTGAGAAAGAAAGTATTAACAGTGAGACTGGCAATGATCGGCAGACTGCATTCCATACCCATGACTACATCAAAGCATTGTGGATCACCCCAGGTCAAAAGAGTGGGTGTGGAAAGGCAGATGGAGTCTGTCATCTTACACAACACCATGGACGTCTAAGAACAAGCAACAGATCAAGACTGAACTAAACATCACTAAAGCCCTGCTATCAATTACAGTGTTTTAGTTCTCTCTAAAAGCAGTTGTATGTAGCACTAAAGCAAGTAAGGACCAGAAATAAAAAGAAATGGGAGAAATCAAAACAGTGCAGACTTAGTCTATTCCTTGATGTGTTCCAGGCAAACCAAATGGGCCAAGACGCTTGATGCACTCTCAACATCCTAGCAGACTCCAACAACTACCTAAAAAAACATCGGACAGACATTAAATTTCGGTTGGAAATTAAATTCAGGTTGATGTCAAAGCCCAACGTTGGCGAATATACATTGTGACGTTTAGCAGATGTTGGGTTTAGTTCACAACCAGAATGTTGGTATTTCTTTTGTCAAGATGGCGTTGGCATGAGGCATTTGATAGACGTAGGATTTTGGTAAACAACATAAAACCAACAAAATATCAGCTGTCAGCTGTCATCAGTAGTTTACATCAAATTAATGTTGTAGACGTTGTCCCAACTTTGAACTTTGGTCACCTGACCTCACAACCTCCCTTCAACCAAATATCAACATCTGATGACATCTGTGGCCAGCTGCTAGGGTGTTGGTGTCAGGAGAGGAGGTGCTCGTGGAAGAGATGAGTCTTCAAGAAATTCTTGAAGATGGAGAGAGATGCACCTGCTCTGATAGCATTTGGCTGATTGTTCCACCATTGGGGAACCACCGAAAACAGTCTGGACTAAGATTGCATGGTATGCAGGGAGGCCAATGCCAGACGATGTTCGTTGACCGAGAAGGAGAACAAGGCTGATTGAGTTCAAGTAGATTGGTGCAGACGCAAAGGTTACACTGTAAGCAAGCATTAGTGACTTGGATTTGATTTAGGCAGCCAGAGGTCGTCAGTGGAGGTCAATGAGCAGCAGAGTGACCTGTATCCTCTTAACCAGACACGCTGCCCCATCCCACATGGTTCCCACGCACATAACAAAATCAACATATTTAATATTTTCTGAATTCTATGATCATAGACATCATCAGAAGCTTTTATCTTCCCTGGTGATGCTGTCTCAGGCGTTGACTGCAGCCACCTCCAGTTCTTGCTAAAGGCAGGGAGGCCCCTGCCTTTAGTCTGGTTATCAGTGAGTGGACTGCAGCTCAATCTCAGATCACGGATTGAGATCAGGTGATTGACTGTGCCAGCTGAGGATATTCCTCCTCTTCTCTATTAAAAGATCTTTAGTGGCTTTGGCTGTACATTTAGGATCCTAAAATCATCAGTAACCACAACTGTGCCAGTTCCAAACATACTCCAACCATTACAGAACCACCCCCATTGGTTTTTCTTTCCACTCTACATCATTTTAACAGGAGTTGATTTTTGTCTCGTCAGTCCATTGAACTTTGATGCAGAACTCCACTGGTTTCTTTTTGTATGATTTTTGTGAACTGCATCCTGGAATTTCTGTTTTCGAAGCTTATTATGTTTTTGCAGCTTGTGGTGAATCTGAGGTTATCATCGGGAAGTGACTGTTGAAATATGTATGCCTACATCCTTTTTGACTTGCTGTGCCATAAATGGGTTTTCCTTCAAATCCTTACTTACACTTCGGCCTACAATCCAGGTCATTTGCCATTGTCTAGTTTGCCTATGCACTTCTGTTTTTTTAGAATATACCCAACTGTTGATTTTGCAAACCAACTACCTTCGATATCTCTGATATATTTCTTCTTTTGTTTTGAGCCCGATTATTCTCTTTTTCACTTGCATGGTGACTTCTTAAACATTGTCATGCCAAACATGAAAACCGCTTGACTCACCAGTCCACCTTTACAGCCAAGAGGTAAGAGCTAAATCAAACTACTAGTTGGAAGTTTAGTGGTGGTGATGATGAAGTCATGTGACATAGTTCAATTGGAAAATTGGTTCCAACTGTCCAAATACTAAAAGTCTGGACTGTATGCAACCCTTGCCAAGTTCTCGCCAACTCAGTGTGTGGACATGAAGTTGCACTTCATGGAATGAATGTATATCATGTTTACAACAAGGCTTTACTACGGAGGAATGAAGGCCCTATTTTGTCACACACAGCAGGAGAAAAGCTGTTCAAATGAATATCCTGGGTCATTGTTGAGATGGCAACAGAGTCAAATGCCCCAAGCAAGCAGGGCCGGACCCCAACTTCTGTTTTTCTCCTGCTTTCATGCTCTAACACTGGTCCCAAATGTTGGCAACCAATTTGACAAAATTGGTGGCTTATGACACTTGACTTTACATGACCCTATTGTTTCCTTCTGTGAGACCACACACACACAATGCTAACTCACACACAAGCAAACAGTGCAGTTACACATGACACGAATCTGAGGGAACCATTAAGGACTGGCACAATATGATCAGCGAAAACCAGCTGATGGCCACACAAAAGACAAATATGCAAATAAGAGAATAGAAAGACATGAAAACAATATAATATCTGATTTAAAGGCTTTTATTCTTTCCAGATCTTCAAACCATTTTTAGTGCCAGCAAAGCTGCGTCTTCTGTGTGTGATCCTGCAGTTGGATTCCTCCATGCATACCACACATGCTGGGCTGGGCTGGGCTGGCCCAGCACAAGCCTGGTCATGCGAGCCAGCTGGTGTGCCTTTGGTCTCACAGCGTTCCCAGAAAAATGATAAGAAAAATGTTTTTAAAAAAACAATAAGTGTCCTCACTGTTGCATTTCAACTACCTATATCCACCCTGTCTTACTACTTGCAATATTCAATTGCAGATGTAAATGTAGGTTTTCCTGTTACTCAGATATCAAATCATTGAAGTTGTGGGAAAATAGTGGTAATTTGGTACAAATTATGGGAGATTTAGATCACAGAACCTTCATGCAATTTCATATTCAATTGGCATACCAAAGCACAGTATAAAAAGATACCAAAAACGCAAGAAGGCTCTAGGTATGAACCTGCCATGATGCCAGGATGTTTGGGATGTTTGAGTGTTTTTTTTCCCCATAAGTATACATAAATTAGCCAAAACATCTGGTTCTAATGTTGTAAACCAGTAACAGGTTTAAATGTTGTGGCTGATTGGAATATGAGAAACTGAAATAATAAAAGTCTTGAAACTGGGTTTTAAGACAGTGGAAAGTCTCAAATAACTTAACTCAAATACTGTACTTCAGTACAGTTTTGTTCTTGTTCTTTACTTGCATGTTTTCACTTAATGCTACTTTATACTTTATTCAATTTCAGAGCTAAGTCTGTACTATTTACTTTATACTGTTACATTTACTATTCAGCTAAAATTCTCATTACTTACTTGCTTTCTGGGTCTCTGGAGTAATTGGACTATTGAAGTATGTATGGTGAATGTTGAATGAATGAATGAATGAATGAATGAATGAATGAATGAATGAATGTCAATATGTATTTTAGGGTGGGAATGTAGGACAAGACACCATGAAAACGAGGAGCTTAAAATCCTGTATAGTTATAGCTAGTTAAGAGAAGTTGTAGAGCAGACATTTAGAAGGTATGACTTCATTTGAGTGTTTGCATATTTCTTCAATGCTACAGATTGAATGGTAGTGAGGGGAAAAAAAAGTTCAGACCTTTAGGCCTATTTTCACAATGAAATTGGCCAGTTTGTGTTTAAAACTCGGTTAGTCAGTTTCGAGTTTTGGTCGCTTTTATTTTGAAGGATTCGAATCGGATGTTGTGTCGTTTGCTACGTACAACGTCGGCGTGACATCTCATAGCGGCTACCGGCACGAGAGGAAAGGTAAACAAATGTCTATTTACTTGCTTTTAGAAGACGTAGGAACTACACAGTGAACACACAGTACACACAACAGAGAGGGAAAATATTCCATGTAGAAGAAAACAAAGAGCGAAGCGAGTCGGCTGATAGATGTGGCCTGTAAGCTAAAGCTAAGCTAACGTCTCTAGCCGGGAAACGGCATGGGCAAAACCAAAACACCTTAGTGAGTAACCAAGACAACAACCTCCTACATTACTTTTACCAGTAGTTCTCGTCCGAATAGGAAACCAAGAGAGCAAACTGACTCCAAGCAGCCAGACCTCTATGCTAATGCTAATGCTTGTCAGCTTTCTCTGATAGAAACATAATAAAGCTCATAGTCATGCCCACCTGTGTAAATTGTTTAGTGAGAGGTAGGCTAACTTTATTTGTTTTTGTGCATGCGTGTTGGAGAAAAACTTCACCCTGGGTTTATTAAATGCTGATTAGAAATAACCTGATGGGCTGTAAGTTATCAATTATTGTCACGTTCACAGTCAGTGCTGGTGCTTAGTTAATGTTTTGATTGATTGACTGTATTGTCCACCTCAGTTGAAATTTGTCTTTGGCTTCTTCCAAAGTGAATTAAGCCAGTCCATGAAAACAGGTGCACAAAGAAAACCAATGCACATGTGTTCAGCCATATTAATAGTGTTGGATCAGAAAAAACTAAACTAAACAGAACAAAACAAACTAATCTTTCCATTTGTGCCTTTTCTCAGTACATCTGCACATGTAGTGTATGCAGGGATTACCTGTTGTAAGTGCCTCTCCTACCTGTGGTGTGTGATTTATATGCTGATGTAGAGTTGAAAACTCTGGCAAAGCTAGTAAGTTAGACCTTTAGTTGAATTTTTTGTCACAAGTACTGATCCCAAGGTCAAAAATGAACTTTAATGCTCAAACCTCTTCAGTATTTATAGGGCTGGATATGAATATCAATTTTCTGATTAATTGCAATTTCCCGATATCTGCATTTGTTTTGTATTGTATTGTTGTTGTTGTTGTTGTTTTTGTTTTTGTTTGTATGTATGTGTTTTTATAATTTGTTATTTGTGTCCATGAGACCCCTCGTAAATAAAGTGCTACATCTCAAGGGGCTATCCTTTCAATTAATTCAGCAAAAATAATTTGAATGATCTAATTTGCATTTGTGCCTTTTTTCAGTATATCTCTGCTAAATGTTATGTAAGTGGTCCAGTCAGGCCTGCATGATGTGTGAAATGTCTACTTAATGGAAATTGACTTATTATAACAGAAAGTTTATTTTAAGTTAAAAAGCACATATATGATAGCTGGATAAACTGTATTAGCCCCCTTGAGTCTTGACAGTCTTGTACTGTAATGTGAAAAGTTTGAGGCTATGTTGAAAATGTATTATAAGAAACAGACACTGGACTCAAAGATGGAAATGGAAATTGCTTGGCAGGTGCATGACCCAAAAGGTTTTCTAAAATTATATAGAAAAAGTAAACATTATCGATTATAATGTCAGTATATCTGAAGGTTGTTCACATTTGCCCTGTTAAATCATATCAAAGTTATACAAAGTACATACACACAGTAGACTTATCTACCATATCTATTTTGTTCTTGTTTTTCTTTCACACTACAGGAGGTTATTCTATCAAAAATAAATCAATAATTGTTACTTTTCTTATTTGAATGTTGGATCATTGACTGATTTTCATTTTGCCCAGAGCCATGACAACCGACTCCTCACTCCTCAACTCTGAACTGGAGTTACAGCAGCAAGAGGAGCTGTATCAACAGCTCCTGTTACAGGTAATTGCTTTAAAGTGAACTGGGTTAAAGTCCGTCTCGAGTGACCACTTGTGATTGGATCTCACTACCTGGTCTATATCTATAAGACACACGTTGATGCTAGGTATGAACAGGGCCCCTCTCCCTCTCTCACACAAACACATTGACAATGAACCCTCAGAATCGGACTGGCCATCAGGAGCACTGGGAAAAATCCTGCTGCATAGGTGGACTGGTGCACCATCAAAAAATCCAAGAGGCTTTTACTGGCCCTCACTGTGTGCCTGTCATTTGGGGTGCAAATGACAGCATGCTACATGCATGTGCTGGGACTGGGCAGGTGAAATAACTGATCTGTATACTGGATATTGTTCCATTATTTACAGTATTTGTGACAAAGTACTTGGCAATTATAATATTTGCAATGGAGCATCGAAGCTCGGAGCACCTCATATATTATATTTAATAATTAATTGTTAAGTCAGCTGCTACCACAAATAGAATGTAAGTCTGTGGGAAAAACTGGTTGACAGGTCTGTTTGGACTGCTTTTTGTTTTTCCAACTCTTGGCCTGAGAGTGAGCAGAATTATGTCTAGATAATTCCCTTTATATAAACGCTGCACATGATTCTTGTTTATACATTACAAAGCTGACATCAAACTTAGCCAAGCCAAACCTACTGTGTTAAGTATTTATCCTCAGCTGAACTGTAGTGGAACCATGATTTCCTGGGAATGTCCAAAGAGTAAAAAAAGAATATTGCAACTAAGCTCAATGTTTTAAAACCCTGTTAAACACATATGACTTTTTCTCTGTTTTTTCCTGCCAGCATTGTCAGATCTGTAGAACTATTGTGTGTATTTCTTCTTCCTTCCTTTTTCAATTTTTCAATACTACATGCTCTGTATGTCTGACACTCAATATTATTCTACAATAGTTTTTCTCCTGATGTAACTGAATGTGTGTAAAACTTTCCAATGGGTCTGAAATAAACTGCTGGTTATCTTTTTAGACTATGGGAAAGATGCAGACTGAAAATCCAGACTCTAAAGTAATTCGACCGCAACCTGGTAGGTATCTCCACAATACAAGGTACATCAAACCACACACACATACACTAATGCAGGAGAGCCTCATTTGGAAGACAGTGCCACAGTTTGTTCAGAGATATGATTTATCTCCCTTTTTTCTCTTTTTGCTTGTAAGTGTTTTTTATTTTTTATTTTACGTTTTCTTTTTCTTCTCTTCCCTCCCAGGCATGTGTGTGAAGACGGTCTCAGAGTCAGACAAGCAGAAGGTCTTTGTCAACATCTGCCAGTCGAACTCAGTCCCGCCTCCTCCAGAACTCTCAAGAGAGGAGCTTGTGGAGCTGCTTCAATCAGAAGATCCCAGTGGCTACAGAGTTCCCATGAGTCTCGGCGAGCCACACACAGAAGTAGATAACAGTATGCAACTAAAGCCAAACTATTTTATTATATATTAACAAAATATTTTTGTGGTGATTTAATTCATAGTTTGACTGTTATGCCTGTATGATTTAAAGGTTAGTCACTGTAAATGTGCATGCAGGCAAAAAAAAATCTAATGACTACAAAAAGAAAAATAGGGGAAGGAGTTTTTTTTTTTTTTTAACATTACAGCATATTTTGTTATGATAGGCTGGCACTTTCAGTAGCAGCAACTTTCACAGCGGTTTTGGTAATAACGGCAAAAAATAAACAACCACGTACTGGAACACATCTGGCAGTGTTTAATCTCATGCTTCTTCACCTCAGTTGGTGAAGCAAGGCACTGAACTCCTAGCATAGATGAAGACAGTTCTTTGGTTAGAGGGTCATGTGAGGACTAGGGCTGTCCCAAACGATTATTCTTTAAATGATTAATCTAGCAATTATTTTTTCGATTATTCGACTAATCTAACGATTATTTTTTTTATTAACCTAACAGTAATTTTATTGCAATTATTTTCCAGTTAGTCATTTAATATAACAATTTGCCCCGTCCAACACACACACACACACAAATGAAGATGCACTTTGCAGAGTCTGCAGACTACCGCACTGTTGGTGTCAAGATTAATGTATTCCCAAACTTTGGAGGACCGTGTGCGAGCCTTTTTGCCACGTGTTGCTCCACACGCTCCGTCATACTGCTGGTAGACGCCGCCATGTTGTTCAAATAGATTACAAAGACGCAAATCATTCACGTAGTCAATGACTTCAATTACATCACCGCGTTGTCCCAGCCCTTGCGCTACGCTTGTATCCGGGTAAACCAAAGACGATGGATATTAACGGTCCCATTACAAAGTTCCGGTTTTGTTCTATGAACATTTACCCTGTGTGGTTTTACACGACGCGTCGACACTAAAATTCCACGTCGAATAATTTTTATAATCGACAACGTCGTCTACGTCGGATAATTGTCCCAGCCCTAGTGAGGACAAAGCTCTTCGTAGTCCCACAGTGGTCTTTGGAACTGATACTCCCAGAGGGCCCTGCACCACTACTTCTGCTTAGGATTTGGTCTTGTGTGTGCAATGTTTATCAGTTTGATTTCCAATATATAAACTGAATAGTAAAAAAATTGAGTCACAATACACAGATGTCAATTTCCTGTCAGTCTCTACCAATTTGACACTGTCACTATATAACATTGTCAAACACAGTGAGACAAGCTTGAGGACTGGCAAACCTGTCTTGAGACGTGTTCATGAGGGCAGCTGTAATGCTGTGATTTAATGAGACCGACAACTATTAAAACATTACTTCTGGTTCCTGTCGAGAGAGAGAGAGAGAGAGAGAGAGAGAGAGAGAGAGAGAGAGAGAGAGAGAGAGAAGAGAGTATGAGTGATGAGAGAGAGAGAGAGGTATGAGCAAGAAGAGATCTAAAATGCTTTATTTTTTTATGTCTACATGTCTGTTTACTAATATCTTTTTTTTATATTTGCAAATTTCATCAGGATGTTGTGTCAAAGACATGTACACAGTAACAAGCAGACAGCAAGTTCAGGCCAGATGTGTTTTTGCTCCAAGGCTTACATGGACCTGAGGGGTTACTGAGAAAAATTAAAAGCTGGAAAATCATTCTGTGTCAAAAATTATGCTTCAACAACAGCTGCTCTGCAAGGACTGCAAGGCTGCGTTACACCTCTGGCAAAAGATTTTCATATCCAATGCTCTCCATGCTTAAAGTAACTTTTTGATATTTTGGGTTAATCTGTTTTGAAGTTACACTTGGTATTTAAACCAGCAAGAACTATGATAGTAACAGAAGGGAAGGATTTAAAAATGAATTTGTTGGACCTGGTACCTCATTTTCCCACTTCCACAGTTTTATAATTATTTTATAATTATTTTATAAATAGTTTATCAAATTCAACCGTTTCTACTTTTTATAAAATGTGTTTGGTAGATTGGATTCATTCATCTCTCTCTCTTTGTTTCAGGCTCTCAGGGTTGCACAGCTTACGATGTGGTCATCAACCAGGAGTTCTTCCAAAGGTGCCAGGTGAGTTTTCCGGTTGTCCGTCCGTCCGTCCATCCGTCCCATTCTTTTAAACGCGATACCACAGTAACGCCTTGAGGGACTTCCTCAAATGTGGCACAAACATTCACTTGGATTCAAGAATGAACTGATTAGAGTTTGGTGGTTAAAGGTCAAAGGTCACGGTGACCTCACAAAACAGTTTTGGTCTCTCCAATGTGGCATCTCATGTCTGCATCGGGGGGAATTTCTCCATATTTGGCACAAACATTCATTTGGCCTCAAAGATGATGTTGTTAGAGTTTGGTGGTCAAAGGTCACTGTGATCTCACAAAATACATTTTTGGCCATAACTCACAAATTCATGAGATAATTATGACACAGTTTAACATACATTTCTAATTGGACAAAATTAAGTGATAACATTTTATATCCAAACGGTCAAAGGTCAACTTCACTTTGACATCATAATGTTCTGCAAAAACACTTGTTGCCATTATTCGATGCTGTAACCCAGGAACAGAAGGAGAGATTGTGACCATATTTCCTGTAACTTGGCTGGTTGGTGGAGGCGTACAACCACGAGGCAGTGAGTCTAGTCTTTGTATAAATCTCAACACCATTATTATTACTACACTCAAGCACCTTGTTCATGCCACGTTGGTCGGAATACTTTAGAACATATAAATTTACTCACCCTGAGGAGCCCCAACATTGGTCATGATTGCAGGTGAAAGGGTTTTGTTCGTCTTTACAATTTGGAGTCTGTTAGTGAGAAAAGAGGCAAACCATTGGATCAAATAGGGATTCAGTTCCTGCTGGACCATTTTAGACACCAAGGTGTCTGCTTGTATTGTGTTGAAGCCTGACAAAAACTCCAGAAAGAGAGGATACTTGTCAGGCTTGTCTAAATGTTTAGAAATAATATGATTCAGAGTGGCGGCAGCGTCTTCAGTACCATGACTCTACTTATAATCAAACAGGTATAGATGGAGTTTGTCTTTGTTGCCACCTTTGTCAGTGTAAACTGCATGTGTCATATGAGAACGGAAAGTTTGACAGGTGTAACGACAGTAACTAAGGAGGGCGAAAGCAATTTTCAGATTTGTTTTCTTAGCAGTTACTGATATATACTAAATTGAAAAATTCAGAAATTAAAATAAATGAAAGCACTGTACTGTGTGTAGTATTTCTTTGAATCATCCATGTTGCTCTGATAATCTATAATTTTCTCCACTTGACCAACAGAGGGCAGGTTGGCACCTGTCATAGTGTGTTTAGCCTGCCTACGGCAGCAGTGCTGAATGAAAACAATCAAAGGCCCTCACATGTACCAGTATGTAACAATATAAACTTGTGTCTTGTAGAAGGATCCTTTGTTCCAGCAGTTTGTTATTCTGGTGTCTTTAGAGGGTTTGGAGAACAAATACAGCCTACAGCTAAGTAGAGGTGAGTGTGTGTGTGTGTGAGTGTAACATTTCTTCAAATTGATAGCAGCAGTTGATCTTCTTTTTTTGTGTTTCTGCAGACTGGAAGGTCCTGAAGAACAGGAAGTTCTTGGGTTCTGTTAGTGAGCAGAACATCCGGACCAAGAGCAGGCCGGTGATTCAAGAGCTGCAGCCCCAGTACGTTCACTGAAAATAGCTGACAGTTTAAGTCATCCTATTAAGCATTTATTAGCAGTGTATAAAAACTCAACTCAACAACTCAAACTCATGGAGGCTGGTGTATAAACAGATTATGAATTACATTATTGGAAAACGCTGTTGTAATAATTGTATTAGTATAAGTTGTCTTCATGGAAGAAGTTATAACACTGACAAACACTGTACATTAATAAACATTTATATCCATATAGCTGCTCACAACTACATAGTGTGTTATAAACCATTTATTAAATGTTTATATCGTGCTAAAAAATGCTTAAAAATGGATCTTAAAGTAAAGTGTCACCCTGACATCTCTGAGTATTCTCAGTTTTGTCAAAAACACACAAGAAACTTGTAATATAAAAACTATAGAAAGATTAGTGTCTCTCCCCTTTTGAAACTTTGTCCTGTTAAACATAAATCAGACTCCCACCAGCTTGCAGAGCACATTTAAAAAAAAAAAAGACAGATTTCATAGTAGGTTTTTCCAGCTTGTAAATTATATTGAAGTGATTACAACTGATAAAATCAGATGTTCCTGTAGCCTTCCTATCCACTTAATGATTTTGGTTGCTGTCCACTCCCACTTGTCTCACACTCAACAATGTGGAGATTATATTAGTGTGTGAATTTCATTAACTGTATTTATCAATTGCGAAAATTCTAATTTAAAGTCTCCAGTGAGTTTCATTTTGTGGGTTCATACTAAAATCTTCCACTCTCTCTTACAGGGAGAGCTCCGCTGCAACAGCCAGGAGGTGACTTGGCTCACTCATTTATATCTTTTCTCACTTCATCTCTGCCCATCTTTTTTCTCATTACTGATCTTTCTTTCTCCTTTTGTTATTCCACATCTTGTTCCTCTCTAATTTCTCCCTTATCTCCCCCTTGCCTCATCATTAATTTGTCCTTCCTTTCTCTCGGGTCATGGCTCACCTTCTCCAGACCAGAGTTTACTTTGTTTGTGGAGCCTCCTGCTGGTGACCCTGAGTACCTGATTGCAGAAATAAAGCTGCCCGGGGTGGTGAGACATGCGCTACATACACACTCTACACTAAATGAAACACTCTTGTCTCTTCTCTTTTCTTCTCTTCTACCCTGTTTCTTCCTCTCCCTCAAAAAACAAATCTAATCCATGTAACCTCAGGAAAATATCATTTGCATTCAGGATATAATCAAAAAGGGACTAATTAAAACCAACAATACATAATGAGACAATGAGACATGCAACCGAATTGTATAATTGTGGAATTTTAGGTTTCATAACTCCACAGTTGGGGAGATATTTAATGACTATAAAAATCAGAAGCCTTTTGTACTTCTGTGTGAAACCAAAGAGCAGATCTGTGTACAGATATAGTGAGAGAGGCTGCATGTCATACCATGTTATGATATGTTATCTCATGAAATCATATACAGTACAAGTGCAGACACCGGTTCAAAGCTCAGTAGAATCTCAGCTGGGTGTGTGTGTGTCCTGTGCAGCCGTCCTCTCGCTCTCTGGTTCTGGATGTCGGGGAGGACAGACTTGTGTTGACAGCCCGGCCCTCGCTCTTCCAACTGGACATCTTCCACCCCTTCCTCATCGATCAGGAGAACACCGTGTCACAGTACAACAAGAGCACTGAGGTACAAAACACACGTAACTGCACACAGCCTACAGCTAAAATACACAAAATATACCTTCACAATGGCATAAAACACTAGACAACCAAAGAGGGAAAGAAGCACAGTGACACTAAATCTACACCATGACAAAACAGACACACACATATATACACATGACACTAGCTTGTGTGCACCGAAGCACCAACACACTGTAAACACCATCAACAATGGGCGTGGGTATGATTGTGTGTAAACAGTGTACATACAGTAAGTAATGGAGTAACAACACATAACACTAATGTGCTAAACAAACACACATGCATCATGGCTCTTAACACACTGTACACTTTCTTTTCTGTGTTATTTTCCTCAGATCCTGACAGTCACTATGCCTGTGGTGTCGTCATGAAACTGGAGTTTTTTTGTTTTTTTTTTTGTTCATGAATGATGCTGTGTTAATAAAAGAGTTTAAAAAAATAAATAAAAAATCAAATCTCTCTCATGACTTAAATCCTCATTCATCAGACCTCTGAGCAGATTAAAACAGCAGCAGCTCCTAAAGTCGACAGAATGTTTCTCTTCATGCAGGAACAGATTTCAGGGTGGTGCAGATTCAGACTAAAAGAAATCATGTTACAAAACTGACCAGGCCGGTTTATGTTTTAGGCATTAGTTGAGTTGTCAGGTTGCATTAGAAGTGTCAGCAAAGGTTGGTGTATGACATGCGTCTGCTCACAGATTGTCCAATCACAGAAGTAGATCGCTCTGGTGCATCTTTGCTTCATAGACATGTAGGCTGTGTCTAATTCAGCGCCCGCATCCCTCGTTGGTCTACGCTGTCGTAGACCACGAAGGCCGAACCAAACTTTTTCGTCACTTGCTGTGCCCGCCCTGACCAATGTGTCCTGTCACCTAGCAATATTGACAACTCTTAACTTTTATTTATTTATTTTTCTTTACAAAAACTTGAGTTTTTACAGCCCCTGGTTTTAACGGTTGTACAGTTAGCTGTTGAACTGAGCTGAAACCCAATACTAACATTGTAGTGTAATCCTCAGTCTCTCTGTCAGCGTTGTCTGCTGCCATAATATTTTCATTACAGGTGTGCAATGAATCTTGGGATAGGTCAGGCCACAAAGGATCCACCCGTTTGCCCAGGAAAAGAAGGAGCCTTCAAAATGGGACAGCCTAGCTGCGCCGCTGTTCCTCAGAAAAATGCAGCCCCTGAATTGCGACACAGCTGTAGTTACAAAGTCACAACAAAAGTAATTTTTGACCTTGGGAACACTAGTTTGACAAATTAGGTCTCAAAGTCCACTTACTTGCATTTTCTGGCCTTCATCAGGTTCATTTGCTGATGACAACCATGAGATAGTAAGTGGACCTTGAGTTAAGTTTTTTTTTTTTTTGCCTAACAAATGTGCTCTTTGGAGTCAAAGGGTCAACCAAGAAAGATCAAGTCTTTCTTGTTAACACACTGCTGTACCTGTTAAATGTGGCCTCTAACACCAATGGGAATTTTAACAATGTCTTCAGTAAATACCTTTGACCATAGTTGTATAGTGTATAAGAGGGGGAACATTTAAATTGTGTCAGAAAGCCTCTGCAGAGCTGTTTCTGTGAACTGGAAAGCTCTCCTTTCATGGAAAAAACAAATGAGTGAAGCAGTCACTTCTCTATTTCTGGATCAGCTCTGTTCATCTCTCTGTCTGTCTCTCCCCTCCTCCTCTTCTCTCATCTCTCTCCCTACTGTTTCGTGAGCATCCACATCGGTTTGGCTTGCTTTGCTCGCACGTTTCTCCTTGGCTGCTGTGTCGTGAAGTGGGTGTGTCTACAATTGAATGGTGTAATTTTTTTTCCCCCACAGATGATGTAGACAATTGGCTGTTTTCCGATTTACAAAGACTGGTAATTCCAAAACATATGGTCGTGAAACGTCCCTAGTTGTATTACAAGTAAAAAGAAATGATACATTCTTTAAAAAAACAAAAAACAAAAACAAATCATCCAATCACAGAGTTCTGGATTTTTTTTCTTCTTATGGGTATTAACACTTCATATAAAACACAGGAAATATAAAATATCTGACCTTTTAAAGCAACAAAATCTGTCAATCGGCAACTCACTAATTGGCATGTTTTATTCCACTTGTTTAATCTATACAAAAAACGATGTAAAAACTAAAAAAACTAGTTTACTTTTGGTCAAAAAAAAATTTTTGATGACAAGATTGATACCACTTTCATGCCTTTACAATAAATATGAAGCCACAGCAAGCAGCCAGTTAGCTTAGTTTAGCTGTGAACTGTGATTACTCAAAGAAAAATAACCAGTCTTTTCACAGACTGCCTCTCCTCCCCCCTCCAGTTCCTCTCTGCCAGATCTGTCTCCCTCCATCCGTCACACCCTCCCTCTCCATTTTGTCATGCCCCTCTCCACCTGCCCTGTGGCACCCCCCATTTGTCCAGTGAGGTCATCCCTCTGTTCTCCCTAATCCTGCGAGGTGCTCATCTTTCTGCCTCTGCTTAATCCGCTTGTGGCCCCCAGCCTTGACACCACACACACACACACACACACACACACACACACACACAAATCTGCACATTTGTGCACATGAACTCACAGTTATTCTTGTATTGTACACTTGGACACTCAGTAATTCTCACAGCATGCATACACACATAGTGATTCAGATAGCGCGCACACACACACACACACACACACACTGCCCCTCCACCTCTGTATAAAACTCCCTCTGTTTCTGTACAATAGTCATTCTCTTTCCTGTCTCTGTCCCTCTGTCTGTCTCTTGTTGGTGATACCACACCTTCGTACAGGTACGTCTGTCTGTCTGTTCTTTAATATTTCCTTTCTAGCTTATGCTGTCATAGAAGGACTGTAGAATAAAATATAACCAACAACTCTGACATTGATGTATGATTTTTCCAGGCAGCCACTGTTTTCTCTTCTTCTATAGTCACAGTCACAGTGGACGCTTGGTGTGTTTACGGATGCTCCGTCATGAGAGTCACTGGCCAATCAGCAACCCTTTTGATACAAAAAACTTCAAAATTCAACCCAATGTTACTGTACTTTCCAATATTACACGTATATGTCAGCTGAGCTTGACTTTTCAATTGCATTAATAGTTAGTAGTTGTTCTCAGCAGTAGACTCAAATCTTGGGTGTCTGAGCATCCCTGAATGCACCACGAGGAAGTCTTTCTTTACAAAAGATTCAAGTCTTAGCAAGTTAATTTCATACTGTTGAGAAATGGATAAAAATCAATGGTTACCTTCAATATAATCATTCCAAAAATGTAATGGCTGTATTGGTACTTCAGTGTCATTTTAGTTTCTGAACACTGTAAAACAATCACTAAAATGTAAAAATCTTTAGCTGTATCAGACCAGTCTGTGTCTTAGGACGAGTAAACCAGAGTTAAAAGGGCTTTTCGCCCAAATTACAAAACAAATGTGGACAGTTCCTCTGAATAATATCACTTCCATTGCATCTGAGTGGCAGCAGAAATCTCACAGATGGATATCTCCAAAACCCCATGTAATTAAGTTAGCAATAGTGTGTCTGAATGAGTAGATATTACCAGAGGTAAGTGACAGAATATGTTTACTTATATTTTAATTTCATAAGTTTCTCAAAAAAAAAAATCACCTTTCTTAAATACTGAATAGATAGTATATGTTGGATACAATGGACGAACATAAAAGAGTTTGTAGACACATGGCTTGTGTGAACTGTCACCTCTTGCATCTACAGCATCCACTCTTCCATATGCCTGTGGTGTCTGTGTTAGTGTAGCCGGCACTCAGACTGACATGGACAATTTCAAACATTTGGAGGACCACATAGCATGTGAATTATGCAGGAGTAGATTATTTATATGTCCTGAAGTCCAGTATCAGGGTTTGGGTTTCATTCTGTTGCTGAGACAAAGGATGATGACTAACACTGTCCCCGCTTAGCCACTTGTGCCAAACTGCGTCCATATTCTTAGTCCCGTAGGCTCTCCTAAAAGCATTCAGGACATGGCCCAAATTATCCGAAGGTTTTGGTATTTTGATTTGGTATGGGTACCGCAGCACTGTTCGCTAGCTTGCAAATCTTTCTTCAGAGCTAACTGACATAGGTCTGACAGCTACAGTAATTAGGCTTTTATGAGTACAGTACATGTGTGTGTCTGCGTATGTAGCCTGCCACGCTTCACTTTGTTCCTCTGTGGCAACTGCCAGGCACATACACAGATGCTATCAGTCTGAGGTAAGACTAGCTAACTTTAGCACTCAGAGAAAAGTGGAGGGTATTAAACAGGTGTCTGCATAGACAAATGTCATCTATGCAGTTGGTAATATGTGTGTGTGTGTGTGGGGGGGTTGTTTGACTACATTTGTGGGGTCCTAAAACCAGGAGCTCACTATACTTGTGATATCCGACAGCTTTAAGGGTATCAAAATTCTGGACCCCACACATTTAAATGGCTGTTTGAAGGTTAAGACTTGGTTTTAGGGTTAGGGTTAGGCATTCAGTTGTGATGGTTAAGGTGAAGGTAAGGGGCTAGGGATTGTATTCAATGACAGGTCCCCATGAATATAGTAAACCAAGGATGTGTGACATCCAAGTACACAACTTAAACTCAGTTCAAACTAACAATTTAATTTACTAGAGCTAGATAACTGTACACAAAAGTGTAAAAGCTTGTTAGTTTTTAATAAATATCACACATAATAAAGAAATCCTACAACCTGGCTGATCATTTTGCGCAGTGGACTTTTCCTGCAGCTGGATTCTTTTTCAAAAGGATTTTACCGACCTGTTTCCTTCTCCTCTCCTGTCTAGAATCTATCAATAACCTACAATAGCCTGTCTTAAACACTAATGAGATGTTGTTTGCACTCTCATTCTCCTTTACTTCACAGACACACACATTGTCCTTGACTAAATTTAACCCCGCTAAGGCCTATGCCTGTTGCCTGCTGGAACTTGACTCTTCTCCTTAATCCCTTGGTTCCACCCCACCCCCCAATGAAATGTGCACCTCTCATTCATCCATCCGTCATTTCTCCCCACCCTCCCATTCCTTCATTCAAAGGTCTTACCTTTATGTACCTTTTAAGTAAAATAAGGCCTTCCCCCATCATTTAAGATTAAAGCGAAAGCCTTTGAGCAAGGCACTGAACTGCAGACGAGTCTTGTGACAAAGGTCCCATGAAATTTCAGATGCATTTTTCATGTTGCTACCTTGATCAGATCAGTGTTCTTCTGATGCAAGTTTGCATTCATCTTCTAATTTACTGCCCTCTTGTGGCTGCAGTAGGCTACAGTCTCTAGAAGCTACCAGCCGTAGCATCCATCACTTCTGTCTTTTTTCTGGGTGTGGCCATGTCCTGTTGACAAGGGCTGGGGCTTGTAAAGCAGAGAGGGGAGCAGCATTTTTTTGGACATTGCGCAGTGTGGATAATCTCTGACAGATGACTGGCTATAGCTAGCTACAGACGAGTGTGTTTGTCAAGCTGCTTTCGAGTTAGCTTACACTGTTCTCAGTTATGATATTGCAGGCAACAGCCTTTTCTTCCTATGCGTTGAGAGGTAGCAGTAGCAAGTAAACAAGCAAATTACAGTGATTTATCATCTCAAATCAGTATAAGTTATCTTACTACTTACTTACTAGTTATCATCTTATGATTAATGAATAGTTTGACATTTTGGGATATACACTTTTTGGATCAATACCACTGTCATGTCTGTACAGTAAACATGAAGCTAACAACTGCAGCCAGTTAGCTTAGTGCACAAACTGGCAATAATTAGCTTAGCTCTTTCCATACGTAACAAAGTTGCAATTACAGAGTTTTTGGGCCATTTGGGGGCGGCATAAACAAGCTGTGAACACAGCACTGACATTATCATAAGTTGATATGGCAAACTTGTTAGCCAACAGTTGCTATATACACATCCAGCAGTTACAGAGCAACACTGGCGCTTTTGTGTAGTATTTCTGGCCACTTGGCAGATCTAAGTCCATCTCTTTTAGCTCTGTTTTTGGTCCCTACCAATTCCTGAGAGAAATATTGGGCTCCTTAGCTGCTAAATGTTTATCAGCTAGTCTGTCTGTCTGCTGTTTGGTGGTGTAGCCGATAAGAAGTCCTCCTCTCTGTAGGTTCATCACAACAAGCAATCTGTTCCACACGTTCACATTGTCATTTGGTACATTGTTATTATAAAAATATAAATTATGGCTGCTGTGGTTAATACATTAACAGAAGGTTAAAAAAAAGCCAGACTATTTCTTGGCCGGGCTTAGTAACTTTCAGGAGCGCCTTCGGACAGAGCCATGTTTGCTGTTTCCCTATGTTTCCAGTGTTTGCTAAGCTAAGCTAACGTGCTATTGGCTGTAACCTCATATTTACCGTACAGACATGGGAGTGGTATCAATCTTGTCATCAAGAAAGCTATTCCATTAAGAGTCTTTTTCTGTTTTGCCCATGCTCATGTTTACCATGCCCATGATAGTGAAAAGAAATTAAGGATGTGTTATACTGTAGGTAAACAATTTTGAAATGGAAGCTAAAAACTGTCATAGCTGGAGTTGATTGCTTTATAGACTGTAGTCTGTCTGTACGGTCTAAACACAGAGAGAGGAAAGGTCAATAACATTTCATGGAAGATTGGAGGCGTACTGATTTCCCATTGAAAGGACGTGGTATGCCAAGCTGCAAGGTCTGGCACGGCAGTGGGCACGACAACAGACAGGAAAAAGAGGGCAGAGCTTTTGACGACAGTTACCGCCTCTATAAATTCAACCACACAGTCACAGGGCCATTATAAATTCTTCCTGATGATAGAAAGATAGACAGGGGAGAGGATGGGAGGGTACGACGGGGTGTTGAGGGATAACAGAAAGAAGGTGGGGCGACTGATGAGTTTTCTACTGATTTACAATCCGATTTTGACAGAAACTGCTCTTTACAAGCAACTTTTTTTCACTGAGGTTTTGAATAATGGCAAGGACCTTGGACTCGTTTCAAAGCACCCCAGTCAAGCTTAGTTCATCAGTCACTTATCAGTTGCTCAGTTAACTTGCCAAACTGTGAAACCAGTTGTAAAGATAGACGTGTTAAGTTTCAAAACACTTGAGTACACCTTGTAAAATCTTAATAGCCACAGTTACAGACTTTCAGCACTAACCTTGTTCACCTGTGCAGTGTTTCAAAGTAAATCATGTCATGTAGTTTGTTGAAAAGACCAGCGCAGAAGGAGAAACTGTGAGAGAGGACAAAGGTGGAAGGTGGCAGGGGTGAAAACTAGAAAGTGAGAGAAACCCTATCTGCCCAGGTCTATCTGTGTTTAACCCTTGTCACATTCTCACCTGTTGACGCTCCATCAATCTGCTCGCGCCCCCTGCCAGGAAGTTGTCATCGCACACCCACTGTGTATATGTGTGTGGTTTTATGTCAGGACAATGGCAGCTCAGAGAGACAATTTATAGCGAAAACCATCTCACCGTGCATTATCTCCGTCTGTGCTTGTGCGTGTGTTTTTTCTATCTCCAACGTGATTAATCACAAGAGAATAGACACCTGTGATTTAGTGATGACAACTCACTCATGTAGTACTTATGCAGAGCCGGCCCTTCAAGTCTGCATTTAGGTTGCTCAGTATTTTAAAATAAATAGGTTATAATATCTTTATGATAATTTATAATGTAACCAAACATTCCTTTTATGTTGTAGTCAGTAAAACTAGGACTTCAAGACAACTTCCTTGGGCAAGCAACCATTAAAAAGGACAGCATGTATTTTTGTGCGGTAATTCTTTATGTAGATGGTTGATATTCTTATTTAGTAATGAATCTTTTCAACAGTTCTTCAAAATATTATCACTCTTTGGCATTTTTTATTCAATCAAGCAAGTCAATTGAAAATGTGTTTCTCTTTTTTGCAGCCATGTCAGATGTAGAAGAGGAATACGAGTGAGTAGAGCAGCATCCATCACTGTTTATCATTTGAAGTCACATGTTCATTCCAGTGTAAATGCATCAACTGTGCTGTTAACTGATAAACAATGTTTCTATATTTCCTGTCCTTTCCTTGTCTCTCCAGGGAGCAGGCAGAGGGTAAGTTCAGTCGTATCCATATTTGTCACACAACATTGTCACAGTGAATGAAGATTTATATTTATATTCATTTCTCTGGGTCTCCTTCATCCCAGAGGCTGAAGAGGAGCAGGAGGCCGATCCCGAGGAGGAGGAGGAGGAAACTGAGCAGGTGGAGGAGGATGGAGAAGGTAAGGTCTGGAAGACTTCAAGAAGGCAAAGCTCACATACAAGTCTGTATCGCAAGACTGTTGTATCACAAGTCTGGGGATAAAACTTGTCCTATCATGTGTTGAAAAGACGGTGCAAAAATGTAAATGCTAAAAAATGTTAAAAATGGTCTTTCCCTGTTGAAGAAGCTCTCATTGAGCCCAGCAGTCATCTCCTCTCTCCTTCTTCATAACTGTGTGAGTTATGGGTGACGCTGTACTAACTCTGACCTATCAACTCCTCCTCTATCCTGCTTTTCCATTGGCTGACACTGCTGGTCCGGGTTATCAGAGCAGCAAGAGTACCAAGGTAAGGTCATCATGAGTCACATTTTTAGATGCCATTTATCGCTAGTCTTAAAACAAATGCAGGTGGAACCTGTATCAAGATATGTCATTAGAAGAAGAAACATTTTATTTGCTCTAAATTTAAAATCACATGTGGCCTCTTATTAAAAAATCTAGATATATCTTTTACCTGCATTGTATTTTAATACTAAATGTAAGTAGTGAACACCTTCATTAGCCATACAGTGCTTTTCCATATGTAAGGACAAAAGTCACATGTCACATCTAAACATATTGCCATTGCCATTTTGATCATGCCTTTGTCAGCATTGTGAACATTTTACTGCTTCTCTCATTGCCTGTTGTTGCAGCCAGTGTTGTAAAAGTGTAAGAAATCAAGCATGATATGTTTATGATCTTGTCCACTTAAGTCAATATGTTGGATTCTAAAATTAAATATATTCATTAAGGATGAATTATCATAATCTAAAAATGGTCATTTAATGCTGCAGTAATCAATATTTTTATAAAAAACAATGTATCAGATGGCTCTTAAAGGTGGAAGATGTCACTCATAATCATGACCCCACAGAAAATGTTCAAATATTTCCATGAGCTCTACGGAAAGTGTAAGCATTTTAAGCTGTTTTAATTTAGTTTGTCTAACCTCATCAACCATCAGGCAAATATTTTCAATCAAGTTAGTGATCAGCTGGTTAAACGATGTGGAGCATTTAGCAGGTAAATAGTCAGAAACTTCCCTCAGGAGCTGGTGGAGACCAAAACAGAGTTAAAGGAGGGTGAATATTGGACTAACATCCTCCATGTGGATAAAAACGTGACTCAAAATGAATGCTAATGTTACTCTAGTGTTTGCTAACAACTGTATAAGAGGATAATGCTTGTTTACAATGTGCTTTCAGCTTGTTCTGCTGCCACCAAGTGGCCCAAAAAAATCAACCAATGGAGCCACAAAGGCACTAGTCTGTTTTCGTACTAATCATTGTCAAACAAAAATGCAAGTTATCTAGCCATGTGTTTTAATTTGTTCAAAATGGATTTTCTTTAGATTTAAACTATTAACCAGTGATACAATGCTTTGCTCCCAGCCTGGAGGTACATGTAATCCACACACAATTTGTAGGTTTGTTTGGGATAGCTTCGGTATGCAGCTCAGTTATCCAAGACTCATGTCTAACTTTTAAAGACAGTTAAACAAATGTAGACTGACCAGTCCAAGATCATAAACATATCGTACTGGTATGCAACCTCCGCTTTGGAACATGGTTTGCCTTAAATAGTTGTACATGGTGTTATTCATTTCTACAACTGCAATCATTGTATGTATTCTGACATTAATTATTGTACACATGCACATACCTGCCATGAGTTTTACTTCTACAAGATGTTCTCTGAGGATTTAAATCTTGGTTGGCTGGGCCCAGAGGTGCACTATCAGTAGAGGCAAACCAGCCAACTGCCTTGGGCCCCCAAAGGGGAAAAGTGCCACTGAAGGGCTCTCAAATTGGCACATTTTACAGTGACAATTATAAACCTCCTTTGACCTCCCGTAAAGACACTGTACAGTACACCGATGTTACCCTGTACCCCCCTAAACTTAACCAGTAAGATTAATTCGACCTCAGAGAAATGTTTGTGTGAATAAAACTCAAACTACATGTACAAAATTATCCATATGTGCATTATGTAATAATAAATGTCTACAAAATGTTCCATAAAACTACATTTCCCTACAGCCACATTGGGTGGTACATATTAGTGTCACTGAATAGTGTGGCTGACATCGCATGATGGGAAATGATAGTTTTAAAGCAACAGTTCAACATTTTTGAAAATGCACTTATTTGCTTTCCTGCCAAGTCTGTATAAATATGAAACTACAGCCAGCAGCCGATTAGCTTAGCTTAGCATAAGGAGTCCAAAAATGAGGAAACAGCTAGCTAGCTGCCCCCACCTCTAAAACTGTGTTATTTAATGAGTTTTAGAAGTGCTCATGGGAGGATTCTGTTACCTAGTTACCATGGTAGCCCATTTCCAGACTTTGTGCTAAGCTAAGCTAACTAAGCCTACTGCTCGGTGATGTATTATCATGCAGACAAAAGAGTGGTATCGATCTTCTCATTGGCAAGAAAGTATTTTCCAAAATGCTGAACTTTTTCTTTAAGCTTGCTGCCTGTGCAAAATGAAATGTTAATGTGGGCCTTCTGTCAATCATTCCACACCTCATCTCTCCCTCTGTCCACATGCTTTTTTCTCTATTGTTAATTTTTCACTTTGTTTTCCCATTCCTTCCATTTTTGCTTCATGGTCTCCTGGTGTTTTTATTTCCTTCTTCTCTCCTTTGGTTCTTTACAACTTAATTTCTTCGTTCTGTATCTATCTGTATCTATTTCAATCTGCTTTCAACTTTCCTTCCTTCCTTCCTTCCTTCCTTCCTTCCTTCCTTCCTTCACTCCTTCCTTCCTCCGTTCCTTCACTCCTTCCTTCCTACCGTTCTCCCATTCCTTATCCCTTCCTTTCTTCCTTGCTCCCTCTCCTTCACCTCACATTTTCTATTTTCCTCGCTTTCCTCATTTGCACTTTTCACCCATCATTAATGGCCTTGATGCTCCATGTGTTATTTTGTCCCATCATCTTCCATCCTATCTTTATGTGGCTGGTACATCAGATCAAGATGCTCAGGAGGAAGGTGAGAAACTGTTGTTAGTGTGGTTCCCTGAAGAGTAAAACCCATCATTTTTTCCTCAAGCTCAGCACCATGTTGGTTGACTGAAATATTTCTTCCCCAAATTAATTATCTAACATATTAAATTTACACGTGTTCAGGTCTCTGGACTGGTTTAACTCACATGTAGGATATAAAATATTGAAAGCTGTGTTTTAGAGTATGAGTAATTGGTCTCCTAAATAATTAAACAGCCATACCTTCCAGACCATAATCAGAAAATGTTTTAGAAATCTTATAAACATGATGTCTTTGCACTATGTTTTTTCTTAACTAATTATTGCTTTATTTCATGTTGCCTTTTCTTTTCTCAGTCCCACGCTTGCTGTGTTGTCAGTCACATTAATAGCTTTATTACCTGACTGCTTTCAGATTCCCTATTTGCCCTTTCATATGTTTGAAGGAAAACATTTTTCATTCATGTCGTATGATCTTTTTTTTTTTTACTAATCTTTCTCTCTTTCAACAGAGGAGGAGCGGCCCAAACCCAAGTATGTTCAGTCACACCATTTTATTTGTGCTTGGTTGCAGTAGTTCTTGTTTTTTCAGTCCAAAATGTTACATTCCTCTAACCTTATTTTGATATTTGATCTTTTTGTTTTGTGCTTCCTTCTTTTCTCCAGGCCTATGGTGCCTCAACTTGCCCCTCCAAAGATTCCTGAGGGAGAGAGGGTGGATTTTGATGTAAGTTATGAAAAAGGGGATTAAGCCAGATTAGTCTTTCATTTATTCTTTCTTTCTTTCTTTTTTTTTTTAACTTTGAAGCAGCATCACTCATCATCAGGGAACAACAGCTGTCAGTGTTGTAGCGTAAGAAGTCACCTCAGTTTACCTGAACAAAATGTCACCTCTGGAGATAAACTTCCAGTGGCTGTGATGATGAAGTGATCAGTTTCAGACTGGGTTCAAATCCAGCCTACTGAAACTGGCCTGACGAGGCCAGTGATCTGCCATGGATTCGGATCTTACTGTGTTGCTGTCCTGAGTGAGTGCCGCCTTTGACACTGTGGAGCGGGACACTGTCTTAGATCATTTTGAGAACCTTATTGGTCTCAGGAGGATCAGCGTTTGCCTGGTTCCACTCATTTTTGAGTGGCAGAACAAAAATTGTTAATACATTCCAGTAAATTTAATACATTGGGTCAAATATGGTGTTCCACAGGGATCAATATTTGGACCACTTTTGTTCTGTATGCACATTCTGTCACTTTGTCACTTTCTATGCTGACGACACACAAATCTATCTCCTTGTAACAACAAATGACCCCTAATAACTTGTAAAGCTAAAAAACTTCAGAACAGCAGAGGTTCTTTTGTTCATTTCAGATACAGAAATACTTTTATACACTTTCAAAATAAATCAGAGGAAGTTAGAGCAAACAGAATGGCTGTGAATGGATTTCAAAAAGTCACAGGCCTGGATACACACAGAACCCAACATATGTATCAGTGATAAAATGATCAGCTTAAATTCAACCAAATTTTTATTTACAATGTCCAACAGGACATCCACAGAAAGCGTATGGAGAAGGACTTACTGGAGCTGCATACTCTGATTGATGTCCACTTTGAGCAGAGGAAGAAGGATGAGGAAGAACTCATCGGCCTCAAGGACCGAATTGTAAGCTCACTCTGATACTAATACTTCCTAACAAGATGTTATTAAACAGCACAGAAACATGAATGTGATGTCATGCACCTGATCAACGGAAACTGAAATTGGCCAGCACATTTAGTACATTTATGTAAGTAAGCTACATAAGTGTTATACTTAAGTAAGTGTACTTTCTTATTACATTGCATTATAATGATGGCTTCTTTGGTTTGCTTTCCATCAGGAGCGCCGTCGGTCAGAGAGAGCAGAGATCCAAAGGGTCAGAGCAGAGAAGGAGAAGGACAGACAGAACAGGATTGCGGTAAAACACACATGCACACACATGCACACATGCACATACACACTTATATTACTTTACACTTATATTATACTTTAACTAGGCTATAAACAAACTTAACATTATTACATTATTTAAAGCATATGTGTTTTTAAGTTGAGCTTAGTGTGTTACAAAATTTGCCACATAATAAAATTTTCATATTTGATGACTAAACTGTAATATAATTGTATTTCTTCATTTTATGAAACTATGTAGAACCACTATTTCTATTCATTTATATATTTAGCCATAAAGTGTATAAAAAGCTACTCAAACCCTTGGAAGTATACAACACAGAACGGCTGAACAATTAGTCGAAATACTATCAAAATTGCAATGTGGCCAAGTGCAATATCCAAATTGTAGGGGCTGCAATTTTTTGATGAAGATAAAATGTGTCACGACATATTGTGGTGCTACAGAGATGCCCCGGTCTACAAATCATTTTCTCCAGACATAATGGAACATGGTTTTCCAGCTCCTTTATCACTCCGTCCTTCTTCATCTGACAGGAGGAGCGTCACAGAAAAGAGGAAGAGGAGGCCAAAAGGAAGGCTGATGATGAGGCCAAGAAGAAGAAAGTGCTGTCAGGCATGGGAGCAAACTTTGGAGGTTTCTTGGCCAAGGTCAGACAACGCCTGTTATTCTCAGTTGTGATGATGATGTTTAGGAGATGATGACACAGAGGATGACTGTGGACTGTGTATGTTCTGCTCCAGGCTGAGTCGAGGAAGGGCAAGCGTCTGACAGGCAGAGAGATCAAGAAGAAGACTCTGGCTGACAGACGGCAGCCACTAGCCACCGAAAATATGAGGGAGGATGCGCTCAAGTGAGTCTCCTCCAATTGCTACACCATTACAGCAGCTTTAAACTGGTTATTGATAACCTGAAAGGTGATTGAACTAATGAATTTCTAGATTTATAGTGTATTGTATTGAATTACAATATATAGACTCAAGATAGGCTTTACCTTTGACCCCCTACTTCAAATATCAATTGTCCAATCATAGCATAGCAACCGTAACTAAGCGTGTCAGGCCTGTCCAAGTGACAGCAGCTGAAAAATGAAGCCAACATGGTGCCAAAAACTGCAGTTTTTTGTTCTGGTACAAAAAATGGTCCTGGGCAAAAAAAAAAACAAATCAATGAAGCTAACAGTAGTTTAATTAGCTAGTTGGCTGCCACTGATAAAGTCTTCCAGCAACCGTTGTCATTACAGCCGCCAAAATCAATAGTGACCAGCTACAAATGAGAGGCCTGTTTTCCACAATTAGACACTCTGTTTCCACAATTAGATTGTTTATGGTTATTATCACATTAATTTCAAAACAGGTAAAAAAAAAAAAGCTCTACATCCTTTCCAAATTTCATCTTTGTGTTTCCAAGGCAACGGGCCCAGGAGATGTGGAACTGGATCTACCAGTTGGAGTCTGAGAAGTTTGATTTCATGGAGCACATGAAACACCAGAAATATGAGGTACTACTGTGACTGCTCACAGAAATGTTTAGGAAAATAACAGGAGTGAAATGATCAAGCACATTCACTGTTCTTGCTGATACTTACTGAACTCTTTCATAATTATTTTATTTTTTACTTCTAAATTCTTTTTGTTTTCCCCCTGCAGATCATTGTGCTGCTTAACAGAATCCAACATGCTCAGAAATTGTGAGTAGTTGCTTTAATACAAATTATGACAAACTGCATATCTCTTGTTTATGTGTTTCTACATCCTTCTTTATTTCCCCTCTCTTTCCTCCTCACTTCCTCCCACAGTAAAAAGGTCCACGGCAAAGGGAAGGTGGGTGGTCGCTGGAAGTAAAGGTGGAAAAATACGAAAAAAGAGAAATCAAATACACACTGATAAGAAAAAAGGATAAGCTGTGTAGGAATGGAGGAATGACAACTGGTCTCTCCGTGGTCTTCTAGTGCCAGAGCCACTCGTTAGGCCTTCCCTGTATGTATGAAAGATATTGAATGTTTCTTGATAAGATGTATTGATAATAAAATTACATGCACTCAGCTTGGTGTTGGTTTTGTCACTGTAGCATTTTTATATAGACATTGACAGAGATGGCTGGCTGCTAGCTATGGCAGCTTCAGAAAAGAAGCTAAAACCATCAAAATAGAGTTATCCAAACACATTTTTCTTTTTTTTGTTGTTGTGTCTGAGCAGAAAAAAGGTCAGCTGGCTCAATCATTGGTTAGGACTTAATGAAAACAAACATACCCATAGCAACACAGCCGGCACTTCAAAAAATTGTGAAGAAGAAGAAGTTGTCCAACTGTCTGCAATGGACTTTAATAATATAAATCGAGGGATAGATAGATAGACAACTGGACTTAACAACTGTTTCAAAAGTAAAGAGTTGTCCTTTTATCAGTCGTCCTTCACCATAGTTTATTATAGTACAACAGTTACCATGGTCAAAATTCATCGAACTGGAAATGTCCCCGGTTATCTTTTCAGAAATCTGGTCACCTTAAGTCAAAAGGCTCTGAGGACACAGTATGTACCATTTCTGAAGTGCAGCATCCTTCATATAATATTGAGGTTGTTTCCTACCAGTAGAGAGAAGTCTTCCCTTTAATCTTTTTTAAAGCCTGTGAAGGATGCTTTCTGAAGCAGATATATTTTAAAAGCAACGGTGTGAATGGCCCCCTGGCAACACTACATTTCACATCGATAGCCCCTCATATTGTGTGTGTGGGACTATGTGATCTGTTGCAGCTCCAGTTTGGTTGTTGTTGTTTGTGTTGGTCTGTGTCCTGGTGGTAATGGTGTTCATGCAGATATGTTAATAGCTGCACAGTAGCCTGTCTGGGATGTTACATAAGACTTGTGATCATGTGAAGGCTTTTAGCTTCAGTGGTGGATTTCTGGTTTATCAGAGTTCATCCCACCTGCTGCATGAAACGAGCAGGATTTGCCATCAGAGTGCCAGAGGTATGAGAAAATAACAGAAATGAGCATGAATAAATGATTCAGTGTAATTCTCCTTTAGGATTTAGTAAAGTTATTACCCACCTTAGCTACTTTATTGTATATATTTTAGAATTTAATAAAAGTAACTGGCTCAAGGGAAGCTGCCAAGCCTTGGATGGCTGTGGGTGAAGAAGGAGGGGGGTCATGAGCTCAGAGTTTTCAGTAGATTTATTGGCATATAACTCCACCCAGAGGAACGAAGTTATAATGCTTGCAAGTGTTGTCTGTAATGAGTCAGTAAAGCACAAACACAGTATTGTGTTTAATCTTCCCAGTACATATGGGTGCAAAACCACTGGATGACCAATCAAACCAAAGACATTGTGCTGTTAGTTATTATTTTGTATTTCTATAAACACCAATATATGTTTATTTTGATACAGCAATATTTCTGTCGGGTCATAAATTAAACCAAAAAAAGTCACTTTTGACCCATTTTTGTTTTATATTTAAGAAATAATTTTTTACATTTGCTCTGCACTGTTCACCAAAACCAATATATAGCACTTTTGTGTTATTTTCTTAACCTATCTTTAAAATCTTGTTATTGGGTCATAAAATAAATTAGAAAATAATTGCAGGTCGCTTTTAACCACTTTCATTCTTACTTTTATTTATTTATCTGTGCTTTTTGTCTATTAGGGGAAACTTTTTGTTTATTGGGGGAAACTTTTTGTTTATTAGGGAAAACACACACTGTTTTCCTCCTTTACTGTTTCTTCTTCCCTCCTGTCTGTGGTAATTATGTTTCCTCCCCCCCTCTAATTCCTGCCTCACATGTTTGGCTCACTGCGTGAGACAAGGACTAAAGAGGACACACTGTTAATCCAGTCTTTCACTCGCTGCATTGAATCAGGACACAACACACATACACATATACGCATGGTTACCTCACTGAAATCAAATGTATCAGTGAAGGACTGTTTGTTCAGAAAAAAAGCCTCCATATTCATAATTAGATTACTGGGACAATAATCACAGGGTGAAGGATTAGTTACACTTAGAAAATTACAACGAAAGGTTTGTTCCTCTGATCACAAAGTTAACATGACCACTAATTGTAATAGGGGAAATAATCCCACTCTGAAGCATGATACATAAAAATCTTTTATTGTTCAGAAGACTGTGATCTTTGACCCTAAAGATGCATTTACCTGATTCTACTGGTGCGACTGTTTGTGACTTCCTGCTTGTGTGCAAATGAAAGGATATCACATTCGCACATGAGGGTTTTACAGCATGTGTGCACATGCAAATCCAGCTGTCCGCTGAGCCATCTGTCGTTGTTAGGAAACATTTTATTCAGCTATTTATTTGCAGTCACATAGTATGCATCGAAAGTGAAACCACAAACAGACTTTCATTTTTCTTTATGATATACAATACACACACGCACACACACACACACACACACATCAATATGCACACTCACTCCGAGCATCTCTTTTCATTCAAACACAAGCACAGAAGGAGCCACAAAGAGACAGAACAACAATTAGTAAAAACATGTAACTAAATGATACAAACTTCATGGGAAAAAATCAGGCTTAGACTGTTTGGAAGACGAGAGGGTTTTCAGAGTAAACAAGAGGAAAACATGAGGAAGAAGGAAAATGCAGAAGAATATTCACACCTCAGCTCTGCAGCAGCAGATCGGTATTACTCAAACAAAGAGAATTTCCTCATGGAAATTCTAACACCACCCTATCTGTGAGTTATATCTATAAAGCATTACTTCTCAGACACTGGTACATTAAGTTGCCAGGATACCTGCTGGTCTGCTTCATGGAACAAAAGAGGACAACTGTCGTCCAAGTGCAAACTGAGATAAAACTTCCAGCATTACTGACAATTACAAATGGTGGAAGGAGTTAAAGTGGGAAGGCGAGGGTCACGTGACTAAGGAAAGACAAAAGATAGCATACCGACACGTTTAGCGGCTCTACTTGTACTGCAGGACTAATCAGTGAAGAAGTGCACAATGCAATGATCCATGCAAAATCAACAACAGCAAAGAGAAAAATGCAGTGAAGCTGTTCATCAACCTGCCACATTATTCTTTTGAGTAGTTTTGATGCAAACTTCATGCTTCAAAATAAGTTGCTTTTCATTTTCTATATAACAGATCTATTTTCCCTCAACTTCTTTAATGTGTGCGTCTGTTGCCTCCATCAGCTCTGTTCACAATGTCGAGAGAAATATCAGTAATTATTAGATAATAAACTTAATACTTTTTCTTTACATCCCAATAAAAGCTTGCACTGCTAATAGCAGGCTAGTTAGCGGGGCACCAAACATGCTAGCAGTTTAGCTCATGTGCGGTCGTGCCAGCTTGACTAAGCTGTTGGTCATGTGACCCTCGCCTTGCAGGTCATAGCTGTTTGTTGAGAGTCTCCCACATGAATGAATGCAAATGCAAAACCATTAAGAGAGGAAGGGACATAACAGTTTTAGTTTTGGAGACGTACTAACAAACCAATAGAGTGAAACAGCAGCTACTGATTCTCACTTGCTCTAATCATACCACAGTATTAAAAGTAATTTAACACACTACAGTAAAGTGATGCTAAAAAAAATATCTGTTTAGCCTTGACAGGAGGAAGGAGGTGCAGCTCAGTAAAGTTTAGGTGGTCAAGAAAATAAACAGTAAAGAGGTACGCCACCAATTTTACACATGAAGTTAAGGTTACTCATCCCAGGGGGGTACTACTCTATGGAGGCCCTACAGTCCAGAAAGGTGATATTTTTCATGTTGAGCACACTGATTGAAATAAAAAATGACTGCTAGTGTCATCAGGCTTATCCCATAAATGTTCTTGAGACTGTGTTTATGAACTGGGGTCAGTGAGTTTGATGAATATATTCACCACCTGGCAGGTAGGGCTTACAGAAAGGCTTTCAAAGACTATCAAGCTGCATTATGGGAAGTGCAGGAGCCAGGATTTTTGGGACTATATGTCTGCTGCACTGATTTAAACAATTCTTTTTTTTTTTTTTCATTTGACTCTCGTTAGTCTGTCAACTTTAGGAAATTGCTGGAGTACCCCTTTAATTGTGAGTCGAGTGCAGTTCGAGTATACATGAGCCAGTGCACAAACATATGCATTCAGCTGTCTTGTGTTTGTATGAATGTGAGTGTGTTGAAAGTGCACATTACTTATTTGTATGTATTTCTATAGGGTGTATTCAATACAATATAAAGCACACATGTAGTTATACAAAGAGATCCCAAAATATAACATTACAAAATGAATGCTGGCGTTAAACATACTATTCAAGTTACAGGTCATTCTATAAAACCTACGATTGTTTGGTTTCAAAAGAAAGAAAACCCCCAACTGTGCAGATGATGCTGTATACATGTGTGTCTGTGAGAGTGTGTTTAACGAATAGGGGCCTTCAGAGCAGCATCCACCTCCTCCTCAGGCAGCAGCGTGTGCCACTGGGCCACAGGACGCCTGGGATTGGCCAGCATGTCTGACCAGTGGCGCAGCCCAACACCTGAGGCGCCGTAGCCGATCCAGCACTTGCCGATGGGGTCGTTGCTGCCTAGCTTGTCGTAGTCGTACACAGTGATCAGCACCTGGATTTTCTGTGTGGAGACAGCAGAGAAGAAGAAGCTGTTAGACCAACGTCTACTGTATGTATCCAAAATCTGTTATGTGTATGTATTTCAATCAGGCTAACGGGTGGAAGTAATGTAAATAATGTGAGTATCATGATGTCCATTCTCAGTGTATGTGCACACTTGTGTAGGCTGGACCAGTTTGATGTTTTCGGAAGTGTTAAATTGAGATTTAGGATGAGCGCAGAGAAACTTTCCTCCTCAGCAGATGAAAGTGAAAACAGCCTTAGTGTCAACCTCTGCTTCACTCTGCATAGTGAAGGTTAAACATCCAACAATAAGTGGAGGGGGAGGTTTGTTAATGCTACGGTTTAACTTTACAAGTACATAGCCTCATAAATAGCTGCAATATTCAGGCTTTTTACATTTTGTTTTACAGTTGTTAAGTTATTGTTATTTTAAGCAATGACCCCAAAATAAGAAGGAATATTCACAAATTCCCCTGAAAGCAGCACCCTACCATCTCTTTTATTACTTCTTCAGCAGCAGCTGTAACAAACAGTTCCAAAGTGCAAATTTTTATTTTAGTAAAGATCAACTTATTATGAATTGCCAAGCCTTTCGGAAGTTACCACATATGCAAATAAACTACGGCATGTGTATAAAACAGGATTAAGAGACTACAGCCATTCTAGCAGCTCTGTATTTGAGCGAAATGCCAGCAGCATGTCAACGTGCTCACAATGAGAATGCTAACATGATGTTGTTAAGCAGATAATAATAATATTTATTGTGTTTAGTATCTTAGTTTAGCATTATTTAATGCTAATTAGCAATAAACATAACAAACATTGCTGGTGCTGGTGGGACTATTCATAGTTTTGCAATTATTTGGACACAAACCAAAGTGCTGGACAAGTCAAAATTTTGCCCTGATGAAAAGTCAGATCACCAACGTTATGATGATTCATCCTCTGGGTAACTGTGACATTTCATGGAAACCCATTCAACAGTCGTTAAGATATTTCAGTGGTGGAGTCAAAGTGTCGGACCAACCAACCAACACTTTCATTCCTGGAGCCATGGCTAATGATGCAGTCAAAACAGAATTCTTAAGTCTGAATATTTTAGTTACTTTAGCTCAAATATTTTAGCTAAGTATCTAATGGTGAAAATACTTGATTTAAGGGAAATTTTGGGAAGTTATGGAAGTTTATGGATAACTGATGAGGGAATATCTACTTTCCATGGAAATAAAGAAGTAATGATACACAAAGTTAATTCCTAGAACCATTCACTTAAACCCCCTGTTGTAAAAGAAAGTGTACAAACCTGGATCTGAGAGAAAGGGATCTCGAAGCTGAAGCTCTCATTGAAGTAAGGATTCAGAGTGTTTTGCTTGACTGACGTCTTCTTCTTCTTCAGTCGCTTCCCGTTGTGCTGCAGCACGACTTTAACAAAGGGATCTGAGACAGAGAGACATGATATCAGACCGGCAGGGATACCATCACTGCCATCCATTACCAGTGTCAGTCTGCAGTGCCAGCATGAATGAAAGCATACAGTATGTTTGTGTTGTGTTCACCTGACAGTCCTCCGACGTCCATCTTCTTCAGGTTCTTGGCCTCCATGATGTTCACTGTTAGCTTACCGGCCGTGGGGACGTAACGAAGGGAAATGCAGATATCACCCAGCTTCTCTTGCTGTCAGGGGCAAAACATAAACATAGATGATCTGTCATTTTGCACAGTGAAATGTTGGTAGTGACTGTAATATTCATTATAAAATGAGTTTTAGTGGATGAAAAAAAAAAAGAAAAAATCATGTACCTCCTCTTTCTCTCCTCCAACCAGATCTTTCCATTCCTGTATCGGCTGTCCGAGGTCTATGCTGTTCATGGCGATCTTGATCTCGCCGATGACGTCATGTTTACCAAAACGGTCAAAGTCGAAAACCTGCAGCACCAGAGTCTGACCACCAAGCTCACTATAGGGAATCTGGAGAGGTATGGAGAGTATTTTTAAAAAGTGGTTAAGACTGTTTGGGGAGAATCCGATGCTTCAAACTCAAGTTCACAACTGTTGATGTTTGACATAATCTCGATGTACAGACCTTGAAAGTGAAGGTCTCGTTGAAGACTGGAGAGAGGTTCTTGCGCTGAACTTTGGTCTCAAACTTCTTCTTCTTGTCTGGCAGCATGTAGACTTTGACGTAAGGGTCTGAGGTCCCGCCCATGTCCATAGCTGGGAGGTCCTGAGCCTGAAGGATGCCCACTATCAGCTGGAAGGGGGGGGGGGGGTAAAACAGGGGTCCCAAATCATGACAGTCAGCCAGCTTTTATAGAATAGAGGGCTTCATCATCATCGCTGAGCCCTTTTGTTAATTCTTCAGTCTCTGTATTTAGGAGGTATGATAATGGTGAGTAGTCTTCCAAAATACTATGTTAAGGTGTGTGTGTGTGTGTGTGTGTGTGTGTGTGTACCTACAAATTAATAAAGTTGTAGTCCAGTGAGTACTCCAGTTTGCCATAGAACTCCTTCTCTTCCTCTTTCTCCCCATTCTCTCCGTCCTGGTGGAGACACAGCGTGGTTTGTGTTGTTAACAGACAATGGTACATAGCAAACCTTTTACCTCACCTCTGAACTCTCGGCAAGAAATCAAATAAATGTGTTTCTCAAAATGTTGAACTATTCCTTTAAGGGCAGAACAAAAGATTTAGCTAGTGACTTGTGTATTAAAGTGAGTGCACACCCCCAACAGGCCAACAGCTGGAGCTGTAGTCACTGCCTCACTGTCCACAGCTGTTTGGCTTTCATCCAGGTTGAGGCTAGTAATGGCTGAAGTGACCGTTTAAACAGCCCCAGTGCATCATGGTAAACATCAGGAAAAGGCATGATGACGCAGAGCTGCTGTTCCCCTGTGATTGGACACAGACTGGAGAGGCTTATGGTGACTAGCATCAGAGATGAAAAGAGTAACGTCTGCACACTGGTTCCAACAGCACGTTTATTTATTTTATTTATACATTGTTCAATCAATCGATGTTTAAAAATGGAAACATCACCCACAGTATAGCCTGCCCTATACCAACAGGCTCTTTAATGACAGGTGTGGTAAACCATTCAACTCACCAACAGACATCAGACATCATAGTTTTCTGACATACACTAACTTACATGTATGTTGTCATTGAGATGATAAACTTATCAACCAGAAGCTTTACCCAAAATCTGACTAACACATGACAGGACATTTTATTTCATTTCCTTTGCTTATTTTCTGGAAATTTAGTTTCAGTTTTCATCAAAAATGGATGGAAACTTGACAACAGTCAGAATAAATCTGGTCAACCACACATATGAGCCTGTTAGTATGTATATGGGTGTGGCAGCCATTTTTGAACATTTTGACAAAGACTGATAAGATCAGTGTGAGGGTGTTACTATATTCATAAATGCTGATTTCAAACAGCCTCTCTCTTTTTTTTTATCAACAATTATAAGTCTAATGCTTCGTCATAATTATTGAAAATACGATCTTTAAATATGAAGATGCAGCCAGTTTGTTTAGCCTAGCACAAAGACTGGAAACTGGGGGATATAGCTAACATGGCGCTGGTGCATTTTGCTACCTCTGGACAGAGCTAGGCTTACTGTTTCCCCCCATTTCCAGTCTTTGTGCTAAGCTAGTGAGATAGCTACATATTTACTGTGCGGTACAGTTTGGTATGGAATGAGCTTTTCACCTAATATATTTCCCAAAATGTCAAACTATACCTTTAAAACAAACCGTGAGAACTGTAGCCCTTGTAACCCATAATGCTGACTTCTAGACCAGCTGAATAACACCTCTAACTTCTCTTTTCTCACCTTCTTGTCATCTCCATCCTCTCCATCCTTGTCCTTCTTTCTGCGCCCTCGTCCTCCCTTCCGCTCGCGGACCTTCTTGGGCTTCTTTCCCTTGTTGAAGCACTTCCTGTAGATGCAGAATCCTAGGCAGGCGACGAGGGCCAGGACCACGACCACGATGGCTCCCACGGCCCACATGGGCACTGGAGAAAGAGGTGAGAGGAAGGAGAAAGGCACGTGGGTGCTGGGCAGTTTGATGGAAAACAGAAGTGACAGTGCCTGGATGAGGAGTTGAATTCCTACTGGGCTGGACATGTAGAAGATTATTGTAAAACCTTTTACCACCTGAATATTTTTATTTTTGTCATCTCTAACTTTTTTTTCTTTCCTCAGCAGACACATAAACAAATGTCCCTGCCAAATACACACTGCACAGATATTGTCCTCCTCACACAAACGTCTGTTAAACCACACAGATGTATTGTTTTAAAACACTTAAATCAGAATGGTACAAGACATGAGATGGACTTACTCTTGAGTTTATGATCTTGACGAGCAGAGCAGAGTGGGCACGTGAAAGAAATGAGGACAGAGGACAGAATAAAGAAATGAAACAACACAAATGAAAATGGAATAGAAGGATGGTTAGACGATGGTATGATGTGAAATAGCAGAGGCCAAGACACTTTTGTGTGACTTATTGTCCCTTGTTTGTAATGCAGGCTCTTAGATATTAATTCCAGGATTTTTACATTGCCGCTGTTATTTTCTCAGATGTAACAACGCTGCTCCGGAGCTACAGCAGACATATTCAGCTGTTTTTAGTAGCACTCATCATTACCAGTGAACTGACCTTTATGTGTAAAACTGGTGACTCTCCTTTAAATGTAAAGTAACCAGAGCTAAAATATTTCAGTCTTTGACAAGACATCAAATTAATATTTATTTGGAGTAGGTGTGTTTGCATCTGTACGTGTGTATTTTGTGTATATTTTACATATATCTGTTTACATTTGTGTGTGTCTGTGTGTGTGCTCACTTGGCAGGTGCGTGAGCTCATTGAAGAACTTGTTCTTCATGCTAGCAAACTGGTGGTTGGAGTGGTGCGAGGGGGGTGGGGGCGGTGGCGGCTCCTTCTCCTCCTCCTCGGCAGCCCTGCGGAGCCGCGCCCCCGCCACGCTGACCAATCGCATCGCTGCTCTGTGAAGACAAAGGAGAGCAGACAACAAACGGTCAATGGTTTAGTCATTTCCAAATCAATTTTGCAGACACTGAAACCACCACAAAACGTTGTCAGTGTAGGTTTTCTGTCTAAGTGTGTTTATTAATCTATTTATTTTTACCTGCATGATACAAACTGCAGTAACTAAAGTGAAACAAGCAAGAATACCCCAGTCAGTAAGTCACCTTCTCTGATGGTACCAAGGTCATGGCCCAAGTCCTGCTATAGTCCTGCTTCAGAAAAAAGTCATTAACTTTTAATACATATGGTATTGAAATTGTCATGGGCTGCTTGGATAATTGCCACTATCTACATGTAGTTCATTACTCCCCAACACTGTTTTTTTTTTAAACGTATCCTTTCAGACATCCTGTTTGACCTTTCACCTGGCTGTAATCTCTTTAATCCTCTCTCACCCCCCTGTTTCTAATCGTCCCATTCACTCCTTAGTTTCAAGCATCTGACAAAGACTAACAAACTATCCTCATCAAAGGGAAGCATTTTTATTTTATCAAGATTTTTCTGAAGTAGAATCATAGTGTGAGGTTAGTGGTGGAGGAAGTACTCAGGTCTTAGTAAAAACAGCACACACACAAATATCCTTACATTACTCATTGTGAGGTTGAAAAACTAAAAAATAAGATAACTACACAACAACTTGACAAGCTAGCTCATCAGTTAACTGGCTAGAAAAGAATCAGTCAACTGGCTGGATAGCTTTTTGGCTAGCAAAAAAGTCAATTAGTCAATTACAGCAACAAAAGTAATATTTTTTCCTATTCACTTGTTGAGGGCTAGATGAGTAGATTGAAACCACTCATATATATATATATATATATATAACAAATTAACAAGTTACATCTCATTTCTTTAATCTGTAAAAACACTGAATTGTAAAACTGGCACAGATCCTAGCAAACTGTGCTAAGCTAATCGAATTGACTACTGGTGGTAACTTCATATTTACTGCAAACATGAGACTAGTATCAGTCTTCTCATCTAATGCTCAGCAAGAAAGCAAATCATTTTCACAAAATGTCTTACGACTCTCATTCATTTCAAGCGTATATTGATATTTGTCTCTGAGATAAATTTTCTATGACTTTATTCCTTTCCTGCTTCCTTTTTCCTTTTGTCCTTTTCCTCTTTATTTTTTGTTTCCTTCCTCCCTGCATCCTTTCCATGATGACAGTTTATCAAAAAAAAAGAGTAAAATTGAGCTCTGCTGCTGTTGCTTGCAGATAATAATCCCTCTGACTTTGCACACACACTCACTCACTCACTCACTCACTCACACACACACACACACACACACACACACACACACACACACACACACACACACGGAGAGAGGGACACATGGCCTCATACAAATATGAGGACATTTCATTGGTCCTGTTCACAGCAGACATTTTGATCCATCAGTAGGAAAAGCAGAAATGTTAGTTACAAAAATTTAAAAACACTGGTGAGTGTGATCCAACATTCACTATGCCAGAACCCTGAAACTGAAGCAGCTAAATGCAACTGAGCCATCATCAGTTTTGTCTTTTAAACATGTGGTTTTCCTACTGTAACATGACAAAATGTCTCCTGTGACATTATCCTAATAAAAAGACAATCTTAACAAAGTGGAATAATTGTAAAAAATATTATTTGGGCTCATTATTTCAGATCAGTTTTGCTGTGCTTGACGAGGCATATTGTGAATTTACCTCACTGAGATAAAGTGCAAATAAAAAGCTGGGTTTATCTTCTACCAAATCCCTCTCTATCAGTGTGGGAAAAAACAATAAAATGAGAAGATATCCATCTGTGGTAATCACATCTTTCTGTTAAGCACTTTAGTGCCCTGTATGGAGTTCAACCTGTCAGTTGTGCACTCATAGGCACATTAACATTTAAACACATACACACACGGACACACACACAGGCCCCACCCACACTAGACATCCCTCTGTCGCTGCACAGCGATGTAACAGGATTGATTGCCAAAGGTAATCCAAAAATCCCTCAGCTTAAACAAATTAAGGACAGTTTGCCTCACTGGGTCTCCACCCCTTTCTCCGCCCATCCTACCATCATCTCCCCCTTCACTCCTCCTCCTCTGTCTGTCATTTATCCTCGCTCCTCACAGCTGAAGTAGAGACATACCTCCACACGTACACAGATGCACATACACATCATATTTCCATAATGAGATCTGATTTAGTTGGCAAGCTGTGTTTCCCTGTGTTGTTGATCCTTGTAGCCCCCTGGATTGCATAAGCAGAGGATTAGAGAGGGAGACCTCAGTGTGTGTACTGGACCAAGAGAGAGGTGGATACCACTCACAAACACATATAGAAATCTCGCTGATTAAAATTGACAGATCAGTGGGTCATGCATCGAGAACTGCTCCTGCTGAATAATGCTGAGTATTAGATTATTCCCTCTCTCTCTTATCTTAGTTAACACACCTGCATCAATACCACTATACCACTATATACAGTTTCTCTGTTTATATTCCCACTGTGAATACATTTCCATGTATCTTTATTTATTCAGTTTTATTGTTATCATTATTATTATTATTAGACCTATTAGTCTTATTACTCTTACTTCTATGGTTACTTTGTGTTTATCTTGAATGTAAGATGCTGGAACACTCTAATCTCATTGCTATTAATAAGGTGTTATTTTATCTTACCACTAGAAACAGAGTGAAAGAGCAAGACTGACTCAGTCCAAACATAACAATCAACCAATCAAACAAAACAATAAAAAAATAAAGCTTCTTGGTTAGTTGCCTGGCTGCCCAGAGTCAAGAAATAATCTGGCACATAACACCGCTGACATTTTTACACTTTGCTTTTTGTCCAGATTAAACAAACCTGTTGATTAATGAGCTTTAGTAATGCTGATTCCCATTAGAAACAATTGTTCCTCAGTGATGAGGTGTTAAGTAAAAAGTAGGATTTTAACTTGTCTTTACTAATCTTAATCTTTGTATGTTTGTTTTGAATTAATTTACCCTATTAAAATCTACTTATTTAATGAAATTGGTATTATTTTTAAACTCAATATTTTGTTTATTTATGCAATATTGAATGGGCCAAAAACCATCTCAATGTAGTTTTACATCTCCTCTCTCGGGGTGTCTCTCTGGAGCTCCAGTAACAACATGTCGGTGAGCCAGTTTACAGATTACACATTAAATATTGTTCAGTCAGATCATTTTCATAACCAATTATTACAAGCATCCAGTAATGCACACCAATCATCAGATACAGTTCATTAAGTTTTTGAAGTTAAAGTGCAATTTACAAAAAAAAATACACTTAAATTAAAATAGCTAAGAAATATACATTTCCAGGCAAGTTGCACAGTATGGAGCCTCAGTCATATCAGAAGTCAATGAAAGTGAAAGAATATTTCATATCAAAATGTCCAACATCAGTCTAAACCTGCTGATGGTACTTTATGTACTTTGGACAAAACCACCCACTGAATTCTGTTATCTGCTGTTTCTGTAATGACATTTTATCTCAAGTTCAGAACACCCCCAAAATCAGGATGATGATGACCACAGTTGTTATCTGGGTCACAGCAGATTTAGGCTGGACTGCTGCCAAAAGCTTACATCAGTGAGTCAGAAACCTGGCTGGCATAGGAATACAAATCTCTGTCGAAAGATTGCACAATGGTGAAATCACACTCCTAACAAATAATAATAATTTTGCCTCCGGGTTTATAGTTTGGGAAACCAAAAACAATAACAGGAACTGAATTAAAGTTAAAGGTCTCATATTTTACACTTTCCCTGTGTTTTATTTGAAGTGTTGATCCATAAGAAGATATATTTGTGCTTTTGAGAGCCAAAAACCATCTCAGTGTAGTTTTACAGCTTCTCTCTCAGGCTTCTCTGTGGAGCTCCAGTAACAACAGATCGGTGAGCCAATCAGAAGAGAGGAGGCTCTCATCCTCTCTTCTGATTGTTGATTGTTTTCTGAGTGATCCAATAAAAATATAGCAGATTTAAGGTAAACAATCAGAGAAACCAAATCCTATAAGGTTGTATGGTGGGTCCAGGTGGGCGGGGCTTGGGACATGGCTGAGAGCGGCGACTGCTTTGTTGCGTCATCGCAAAGTTACAGAAGTCATGACGGCTCATTTTTAGGCTCAGTGTCTGAATACAGGCTGTGTGCATTTCTCTGTAGACTGAGCACTTTGATACTTTCACAGAATTAATATAGAAAGTAGTTTGTCTGTTGTCTGTTTTATAATTTAAAAAGAGACATGGAAATCTACTTTTATACAACATGGGAGTCTTGTCAGCAGAAACATCATCCGTCAAAACAGAGTAAACAGCCTTTTATATCAACAGACTGTAGGAAAGAACAATGTCTGACATATTAAACAAAAGTCGCATCATAAACAATAAAACGTGAGTCACTGTGTGGCAAAAAACCACCAACGCTCACAATGTCACCGCACAAAAAGATGAGTGAAGGTTCAGTAGGAGCCTCATTTCAGCTGATTTCTAAAGGGAAAATTACACTCTACAAAAATCACCACATCAAGTCAGGATATTACAACAACCTATATATTTTAAAGGTACCAACCTAAAGTAAAGACTTCAGGGGTGCAAATATATACAGCAGGTGGTATTTTACTGATTATAGCTGCAGAACAGTGTGGTTACGTGTGAATGCATATTCACTCTTGACCTTTGATAACAATTGACATTATTCTGTTGAGAATTTGAGCTCAAAGATCTACAACGATACAGAGCTTTCAGCTGCATCTCACAGTCTCTATCAACAGGATCGTTTATCACATCTTTTGTAGAGTGTGAAACCAAAACCATAAGGCAACAAGAGACCACTTTGACTCTGACTCTGACGACTGCTGCTTGTACTTTTTCTAAGAGTGGGAAATAACCTTTACTGTGACCACGAGTGTGGGTAGAAGGCTTTTCAGATTTATTACTTTATTCAGGCACAAATGAGAGTCTGTGGTCTATTTCCAAGGTCAGAGTCAGTTCAATTCTAGAAAAGCTGGTACTTCTTTTCCTTAATACTGTCTGTGCCTTAATAAAATAAATATTTTAACATGTTGACTGTGTTTATAGTTGATTGGTTTGGAGCTGAAATGATTAATGGATTAGACAATTGACAGAAAATTAGATGGCAACATTTGTGGTAATTGATTAACTGTGTAAGCTATTTTTTTTTTACAAAACAATTAATATTCAGTGGTCATGGAGTCTCAAATGTACATATTGTTTTCTTCTACAGTAGTTTGAGTGTTGCTTGGAGAAAACAGGATCTTAATATGTCAAATTGGGCTCTGCTGTCATTGGGATTTTTCTCTGTTTCTGACGTTTCATGGACCAAACAATGAATTGATTAATCAAGATAATAATCAGCAGATTAATCGATAATGAAAATGTTTATTAGTTGCTGTAGTTTTCATGCTAGTGCATACTCTATATGATTAACTGACTCAGGTCTTCTCTTGTTACTTCCAATATTCCAAACACTACATTTAGGCTCAATTTTAACCAGCTTTTTCATTGTTTTGGCATTTAAAGGAGCTCTGGTCTGATCTGCATGCAGACAGATTGGAGGTGAACAGCTGACGCTGGGATTTGTCAGTTTAAAAGCTCAAAGTTCTGAACTGAACCCAAGGCCCCATTAGGCTTCTGACACTCTGCCTGACTGCACGTTCACATCAGGAAGAGTAGTAAGTTAAAAGTTCTACTATAGAAGCAAAGTACACCCCATTATGTTCAATATTAACATAACATTGCACACTATTCCTATGAGAATTGTTGCAGGATTTGCAACATCTTTATTTGTGATACTTTGTGGTAAAGCTGAGAAGTCTGAGAACAAATTTTTACATTACATTAGATTTATTATTATTATCATTATTATTATTATTTATTTAAACTTCTTTTACCACAGTTAAAGAAATGGTTTGACATATATATGTGGGTTCACTTTCTTGCTGAGAGTTAGATGAGAGGATTGATACTTCTCTAAGTGAGCAGTAAATATGAAGGTAAAGTCAGCAGCCAATTAGCTTAGCTTAGCATAAAGACTGGAAACAGAGGGAAACAGCTAGCCTCTGACCAAACAACCTCTAAAGCTAATTAACATGTACAAAAATCTAACTGTAAAATCAACACAATGTGGTTTTACGATTGGGTTTATGTGTTTGACTATTTTGTAGCAGTGACTTCCTGGAGTCTTGCTGTCATGGCGAGATGAATTAGTTAGCCTACTGTAAACAGAGCTAAGCTAGCTGTTTTCCTGTTTCAAGTCTTTGTGCTAAGCTAGGCTGTTGCTGGTTCCAGCTACATTTTTATTATACAGACATGAGAATGGTATCGATTTTCTCATCTAACTTTCAGCAAGAATGACATAGGTAGAGTAGGGCTATTTCACATAATGTCAAACAGTAAAATTAAGCTGTCATGTCTTTGCAGAAGGTTTGAGGAACATGTTTCTATTGGGGAGGTTAAAAAGGGCACAAATTCAAATGATAACTTTTTTTTTCAAATCTCCCACTAAATACTTAGATAAAGCATTTGTCCATTTTGAACAACACAAGTTTGCACATTTGTGGTATTGCTGTAGGCGTACTATTTATTCTTGATGTTACTATGAACACGTCTGTGCCTAGAATATTCTTAAGCGATTTATGACAAGGTCACTGCTGTTAAGTGTTTTACAGCTTGGTGTGAATCTGCAGCTTTGTACAGAAAAATCCATAAAAGCTAAGAAACTCCATCAGTGCAAACAACCACCGAAAATCCAACCTCCACAGGAGACATTGCTGTTGTAGAGGTCTGTTGAAGCGTGTTGAGGTGTACTGGAGGTGATTGCACGTGAACACAGACACTGCAAATAGACGTGCATTAGCGTCCTATAATCCACTTAAACTAATCTTTGCCAGTTTTGGAAAACATCCTCCACTATGTGTAAAATCAAATGTTTCTCTCGTAAAAGAACTTTCTCAGTAAAATGTATAAATTAAAAGATGGAGAACGCCATGAAAATGAGTACAGAAATATAAAATCCTATAAATTAACATTAACCTTGTGCTCCCTGTGACTATGGCTGCTTCATAATGGAGTTACTACACAATCAAAATATTAGTATTTGGACATGGATTAAGACAAAGTAAGGCAAATTAACGACAGCTAATGAGTCATTAATGGACCTAAAGAAAATTAATCAACTTTCATGAAATTTTAAGTAAAATAAAGAAATATTTGGTTCCGCTTTATTAAATGCAAAAGTTTTCTTGTTTTTCTCTTTCCATTCATTGGAAATAGCATACCTGTGAGTTTTTTGACTGTTTGTTTTGAATAATCAGTTTTTAAACATCAATTTGGCTATGATAATTAATGAGCTGTAAATCCAAAATTGATCATAATACAAACCAAAACCAGAATATAACTCACCCGGTTTAGTGTCAGTCCCTCTTCTGTCTTTGGTCTTTATTATTTTTGCATCCAAATGTTCTGTAGACAAATTCACCACTACTGACATAAGAGATGTCCTTGTACACAACTCCCTCTCTCTCTGTATCTCTCCCCCTCCCCCTTCTGTGTTAATCTCCACAATATCCCTCACTGCCAACCACTTACTGTCCACCGACACTGCAAAAAAACCCTCCATATTTAAGAGCCAGTTCATCTAACACTGTGACTTCAAATCTTCTCCATCTAAAGAACTAAGAATTTTTCATTATATTCTTGCACAACTTTTTTAATGATTTTGTTTGTTACAGTTTAACTACATGTAACAAGGGAACTAACTGCATATGAAGCTGTCTTGAGTTGGAGAAAGGGCAATTATTTTATGCCATTGTTAGATTTTTTTTACTTGCTTTAAAAGTAATCAAATTTTCACCAGATCTCATCTTAACTGACATGTTAAGGTGTCTGTATTTTACAGTGTACGAGCTCAGGCGCTCTCTCTCTATATCTCCTAATCTGCTGAAACAGTGCGGAGGGAGGGATGTTGATTTGATGTTGTGTTTAAATACAAAAAAGGACTGAAATCAAGGGCGTAGGTTTGATTTCAAGATTAGTTGGGATGCAGCGACCCCACCAACCCTTCAAAACAAAAAGATTGACTTTTTAATGCTGTCAACCAAATGGTTTATGAAAATATAAGATCTGAATTTGCATTCATAAATGCCCCAAAACAATATATAATATAATATATGTACATGTGTCGAATTTCAATATATGAAATATATGTGCATAAGAAGTAACTCGTATATATATATTATTATTGTATATAAGTATAGCCTATATATGTAAAAATTACATAGGTAACCTGTTGGAATTGGAACAATATCATATAGCGACATATACAGAATGTCTAGCTACAGGTACTTTAATATGTCTGTTTCTATTATAGTTTTATTCTATAGATATATAATGCAAAAATATATATCCATCCAAACCCTGTTAGTTTATTTTCATTATACGTATATGACAAAATAATGTCATAGTATAGTAACGCATAAAGAGTCATAGTATAGTATGGCATAAAAACTCATAATATAAGGCATAAAAATGTCAATATTATAAGGTATGAAAAAGTCGTTCGAAAGTAAGGAATAAAAAAAATCATAATATGATGTTGCAGAAAAACAATAGTATAGTACACAAATGTAGTATAGGCAGGGATAAAAAGGCATAGGATAGTAAAGCTTGAGTCATAATGAGCCACAGTATTGTAAGGCATAAAAAAGTCATACAATAGGTAGGCAAAAAAAATTCAGAATATAGTATAGCATAAAAAGTCAGAACAACGTCATAGTATAGTAAAGTATAAAATGTCATTCTATAGTAAGGCATAAAAAGTTATAGTAAAGTAAGGCATAAAAAGTGATAAAAACGTCATAGTATACTAAGGCAAAAAACGTCATAGTATATTACGGCATGAAAACTGATAAAAATGTTATAGTATAGTAAGGCATAAAAAGTGATAGAAATGTTATAGTATAGTAAGGCATGAAAAGTTATAAAAACGTCATAGTATAGTAAGGCATGAAAAGTGATAAAAATGTCAAAGTATAGTAAGGCATAAAAACATCATATTAACATATGGCATGAAAAGTGATAAAAAGGTCATAGTATAGTAAGGTATAAAAACATCATAGTAAAGTAAGGCATAAATGGTGATAAAAACATTATAGTATAGTGATGCATGAAAACTGATAAAAACGTCATAGTATAGTAAGGCATAAAAATTGACTAAAACGTCATAGTATAGTAAGGCATAAAAACATCATACTATAGTAAGGCAAAAAACTCCATAGTATAGTAAGTCATAAAAAGTGATAAAAATGTCATAGTATAGCAAAGCATAAAAATAGACTAAACGGTCATAGTATAGTAAGGCATAAAAATAGACTAAACGGTCATAGTATAGTAAGGCATAAAAATAGACTAAAACGTCATAGTATAGTAAGGCATAAAAACGTCATCGTAACGTGAGGCATGAAAAGTGATAAAAACATCATAGTACAGTAAGGCATAAAAACATCATACTATAGTAAGGCAAAAAAACATCATAGTATAGTGAGGCATAAAAATGTCATAGTATAGTAAGGCATAAAATCATCATAGTATAGTACAGCGTAAAAAGTGATAAAAACATCATAGTATAGTAAGGCATAAAAACGTGATAGAAATGTTATAGTATAGTAAGGCATGAAAAGTTATAAAAACGTCATAGTATAGTACAGCGTAAAAAGTGATAAAAACGTCATAGTGTAGTAAGGCATAAAAACATGATAGTATAGTACAGCGTAAAAAGTGATAAAAAATATCATAGTACAGTAAGGCATAAAAACGTTATAGTATAGTAAGGTATAAAAGGTGATAAAAAAATTATAGTATAGTAATGCATGAAAACTGATAAAAACGTCATAGTATAGTAAGGCATAAAAATTGACTAAAACATCATAGTGTAGTAAGGCATAAAAACGTCATACTATAGTGAGGCAAAAAAAACTCCATAGTATAGTAAGGCATAAAAAGTGATAAAAATGTCATAGTATAGTAAGATATAAAAATTGACTAAAACATCATAGTGTAGTAAGGCATAAAAACGTCATCGTAACGTGAGGCATGAAAAGTGATAAAAATGTCATAGTATAGTAAGATATAAAAATTGACTAAAACATCATAGTACAGTAAGGCATAAAAACGTCATACTATAGTAAGGCAAAAAAACATCATAGTATAGTGAGGCATAAAAATGTCATAGTATAGTAAGGCATAAAAACGTCATAGTAACGTAAGGCATGAAAGTGATAAAAACATCATAGTATAGTAAGGCATAAAAAGTGATGAAGACATTATAGTGTAGTAATGCATGAAAAGTGATAAAAACATCATAGTATAGTAAGGCATAAAAAGTGATAAAAACATTATAGTATAGTAATGTATGAAAACTGATAAAAAACATCATAGTATAGTAAGGCATAAAAAGTGATAAAAACATTATAGTTTAGTAATGCATGAAAACTGATAAAAACGTCATAGTATAGTAAGGCATAAAAATTGACTGAAACGTCATAGTATAGCAAAGCATAAAAATAGACTAAAACGTCATAGTATAGTAAGGCATAAAAACGTCATCGTAACATGAAGCATGAAAAGTGATAAAAACGTAATAGTATAGTAAGGCATAAAAATTGACTAAAACGTCATAGTATAGCAAAGCATAAAAATAGACTACAACGTCATAGTATAGTAAGGCATAAAAACATCATCACAACGTGAGGCACGAAAAGTGGTAAAAACGTCATAGTATAGTAAGACATAAAAATTGACTAAAACATCATAGTACAGTAAGGCATAAAAACGTCATACTATAGTAAGGCAAAAAAACATCATAGTATAGTGAGGTATAAAA